GTTATTTTCTAAGTGGTTACTTCACTGAAAATTACAGTAAGCATCTTAATATATCACAATTTGCTTCAGGTTAATAATAACTGGAATAAAATACGAATCCAGTAAAATATAGAAATTTTGCTCCAATACAGTTCCATTTATAGCTCCTTCATGTGATTATTGTCATGTATATTACATCTATACATGTTCTAAATCCAACAATACAGTGTTATGATTCACTTTATACAATCTTTTGTCCTTTAAAGTTCTTACAAAAAAGAGAAATATTATAGTCCTTTATATTTACCACTTCCTGTGTTCTTTATTTTTTTGTATAGTTTGAATTAATGTCTAGTGTCATTTCCTATTAGCCTGAAGAAATTTCTTTCCCTTTTTTAAAAAATAAACTTTATACCCAATGTGGGGCTTGAACTCACAACCCCAAGGTCAAGAGTCACATGCTGTAACAACTGAGCCAGCCAACACCTCTGAAGAAATTTCTTTAACATTTCTTCTAAGGTAAGTCTATTAATAACAAATTCTTTGCTTATCTTGAGATTTTATTTCACATTCTTTTTTTTTCATCAGTTTTATTTTATTTTATTTTTTTAAGATTTTATTTATTTATTCATGAGAGACAGAATGAGAGGCAGAGACACAGGCAGAGGGGGAAGCAGGCTCCATGCAGGGAGTCTGATGTGGGTCTTGATCCCGGGTCTCCTGAGCTGAAGGCAGGCACTAAACCGCTGAGCCACCCAGGGATCCCCTCACATTCTTTTTTTAAAAAACAAGAGAAAAGCATATAGATCTATTTAGTATGTTTCATGTAACACAGGAGACTTCATAAGGAAATGAAGTCCCTCACTCTGATTTTTAAAGGTTGATTTTGGGATGCCTGGGTGGCTCAGTGGTTGAGCGTCTGCCTTTGGCTCAGGGCATGATCCTGAAGTCCCAGGATTGAGTCCCACATAGGGGCTCGCTGCCGGGAGTCTCCTCCTCCCTCTGCCTGTGTCTCTGCCTCTCTGTGTACCTCATGAATCAGTAAATAAAAGATCTTTAAAAAAAAAAAGGTCAATTTTGCTAACTATGTAATTCTTGATTTTTCAGTTCTAAAATTATGATACCAATGCCTTCAGGCTACCATTGTTTCTGATGAGAAGTCAGCTATTAATTGAATTGGTTTTCCCTTTAAAATGACAAATTGTTTTTTTTATTTATTTATGATAGTCACACACGAGAGAGAGAGAGAGAGAGAGAGAGAGAGAGAGGCAGAGACAGGCAGAGGGAGAAGCAGGCTCCATGCACCGGGAGCCCGACGTGGGATTCGATCCTGGATCTCCAGGATCGCGCCCTGGGCCAAAGGCAGGCGCCAAACCGCTGCGCCACCCAGGGATCCCGACAAATTGTTTTTCTTTTGTTGTTTGGATTTTTTTTTTGGTATTTTTTTTTTTTTATCAAATAGGAGAAAATTTCAGCCATTATTTAAGTATTCTTACTACCCTACCCTCTTTTCTCGCTTCTTCTGGGACTCTCACTACCTTTACGTTAATATACTTTATGATATCCCACAGATATCTAAGGCTGTTTCTTTTCCCTCATTCTTTTTTCTCTCAGTTTTAAAGACTGAATAATTTCTTTTGATCTTCCTTCAAGCTCACTGCTTATTTCTTCTGCCATCTCAAACTTATTGTAGAACTCCTCTAGTAAATTTTCAACTATTATACTTTTCAACTTCAGAATTTACATTTGGTTCTCTTTTTAAAAATAGATTGCATGTCTTTATTGAGTTATCTATTTGTTAAGTCATTGTTTCATATATTCTTTTAGTTACTTAAACATGATTTTTTTGAGTTCTTTGAACATATTTATATAATTGCTTTGAAATCTTTGTCTTTTAAACCCAACATGTAGGGATCCCTGGGTGGCGCAGCGGTTTGGCGCCTGCCTTTGGCCCAGGGCGTGATCCTGGAGACCCGGGATCAAATCCCACATCGGGCTCCCGGTGCATGGAGCCTGCTTCTCCCTCTGCCTGTGTCTCTGCCTCTCTCTCTCTCTGACTATCATAAATTAAAAAAAAAAAATTAAATCCAACATGTAGGCACACTCAGAGACAGTTTATATCAATTGCTTTTCCCCCTGCATATAGGTCATAGATTCCTGCTTTTCTGAAACTCTCATAATTTTGTTGTTGAAAGCTGGACATTTTATGTTTTTATTTTTTAAAGTTTTTATTTATTTATTTATTTTTATTTATGATAGTCACAGAGAGAGAGAGAGAGAGAGAGAGAGAGAGAGAGAGGCAGAGACACAGGCAGAGGGAGAAGCAGGCTCCATGCACCGGGAGCCCGACGTGGGATTCGATCCCGGATCTCCAGGATCGCGCCCTGGGCCAAAGGCAGGCGCCAAACCGCTGTGCCACCCAGGGATCCCTAAAGTTTTTATTTAAATTCTAGTTAGCTAACATACAGTGTAGTATTAGTTTCAGGGACACAATTTACTGATTCAACACTTCCATACATCTTGCAGTGCTCATCACAAGTGCCCTGCTTAGTTGCCATAACCTATGTCACCCATTCCCCCACCCCACTCCCCTCTGGTAACCATCAGTTTGTTCTGTATAGTTAAGAGTCTGTTTCTTGGTTTGCCTCTCTCCCCCCACCCCCATCCTCATTTGTTTTGTTTCTTAAATTTCCCATATGAGTGAAATCATACGGTATTTGTCTTTCTCTGACTGACTTATTTGGCTTAGTATATTCTCTAGCTCTATTCATGTCATTGCAAATGGCAAGATTTCATTCTTTTAATGGATGAGTGATATTTCATTGTATACATATACCACATCTTTGTTATCCATTCATCAGTTGATGGACACTTGGGCTGTTTCCTTACTTGGGCTATTGCAGATGTGCTGCTATAAACACTGGGGTGCATATATCCTTTTGTATAAGTGTTTTTGTTTTCTTTTGGTAAACACCTAGTAGTGCAATTGCTGGGTCATGGGGTAGTTCTATTTTGGGGGGGGGTAGTTCTATTTTTGAGGACACTCTATACTGTTTTTCAGAGTGACCACACCAGTTTGCATTCCCACCAACAGTGCAGGAGAGTTCCCCTTTCTTCACACCTTTGCCCACACCTGTTGCTTCTCGTGTTGTTGATTTTAGCTATTCTGACAGGTGTGAGGTGATAGCTCATTGTAGTTTTGCTTTGTATTTCCCTGATGACTAGTGATGTTGATAATCTTTTCATGTGTCTGTTGATCATCTATATGTTTTCTTTGGAAAAATGTTGACTCATGTCTTCTGTCCATTTTTAAATTGGATTATTCATTTTTTGGGTGTTGAGTTAGATAAGTTCCTTATATATTTTAAATATTAACTCTTTATCACATATGTCATTTGCAAATATCTTCTATTTTGAAGGTTGCCTTTTAGTTTTATTGTTTCCTTTGCTGTGTAGAAGTTTTTTATTTTGAGGAAGTCACAATAGTTTATTTTTGCTTTTGTTTCCCTTGCCTCAGGAGACATAACTAGTAAGAAGTTGCTATAGCTGATATCAAAGAGGTTAACTGCCTGTATTCTCCTCTAGATCTTAATGGTTTCATGTCTCACATTTAAGTCTTTAATCCATTTTTAATTTATTTTTGTGTTTGGTGTAAGAAAGTGGTCCAATTCCATTATTTTGCTTGTTGCTGTCCAGTTTTCCCAACACCATTTGTTAAAAAAATTTTTTTTCCCCATTGGATATTATTTCCTGCTTTGTCAAAGATTGACCATGCAGCTGTAGGTTCATCTCTGGGTTTTCTATTCTGTTCCATTGATTTATGTGCCTATTTTTTTGTGCTAGTACCATACTGTTTGATCACTACAGCTTTGTAATATAATCTGAAGTCCAGAATTTTCATCCCTCCAGGAAAGCTGAACATTTTAGGTAAAATTCTGTAGCAAATCTAGTTTCTGATTTCTATCCTTAGTGATAATTGTTGCTGTTTTGTTTTTCTTTGTTTAGTAACTTGCCTGGACTAAACCTTTGGATATCTTTCTTTTTAGGGGTCATCCTGTACCGGCACAGCTTAGTGGTCAGCCAGGAATTGATCAGAGGTTGTGCTCAAATGCCCAGAACCAGTAAGACTTCCAATCTCTGCTACTCTGCTACTAGATACATGTGTGGTTTGGAGAGAACTTTCACATTTTAGGCAGTTTTCATGTCTGCCTTTTATTTTCCAACAGGCCTTGTGTCTCCTGCGTGTGTGCATGCAGCCTTGGTCAGTTAGGGATGGATGGAGAGCTACTATCCCTGGCTGTTTCCTGATCTCTCTTTTATTTTTTAGATCTCTCTTTTATTTTTTTAAATATTTATTTATTTATTTACTTATTTACTTACTTATTTATGATAGACCTAGAGAAAGAGAGAGAGAGAGAGAGAAAGAGAGAGAGAGAGGCAGAGACACAGGAGGAGGGAGAAGCAGGCTCCATGCCAGGACTCGATCCCGGGACTCCAGGACTGCGCGCGCTGGGCCAAAGGCAAGCGCTAAACCGCTGGCTGAGCCACCCAGGGATCCCCCTGATCTTTCTTTTAAACTACTGCCGCGTCCTTGATCCATTGCTCACCGTAATCAGGACTGCAACCTCAGGCTAGCAGATACCTCTGGGCTTTTCACGCTTGTCTCCAAAATAACTGAGTTCCGTCCAGCAATGAAGCTAAAGGTTTTCATGAATTGCTCCACCCTGACAGATTACAGCACCAATCAAATTTACAAGGCAGTGGGGCATGGAGAAGCAACCCAGTGAATGACACAGACTCGTCTATTTTTTTTTTAATTTAAAAAAAATTTAAAATATTTTACTTATTCATGAGAGACACAGACAGAGAGAGAGGCAGAGACACAGGCAGAGGGAGAAGCAGGCTGCATGCAGGGAGCCCGACGTGGGACTCGATCCGGGGACTCTAGGATCCCGCCCTGGGCGGAGGGCAAACGCTCAACCGCTGAGCCCCGCAGGCATCCTGACTCCCTCTATTTTTACCTGGTGTGTAGTAATGAGTTGACATCAAAGCGTGAGAGGGACCGGCCCCAGCGGCTTCCTCAAGGCGGACCCAGCGTGAGACGTCAGGGCCGTCTGCGCGGCTACCGGTTTCATCACGCGGAGTCTCGCGCCCTCCGGCGGCCTCTCTCGAGAACGACACTGTCCTTGTCCGCGCTGGACGCGAATAAAGATTTCTTTTTCAAACAAACAGGAAGTGTCTACGGAGGCCGGGCCGGCGTCTGGGCAGGGGCCGGGCATGAAGGCGGGCGGCGGCCCGATCGCGGGCGGCGGCGGCGGCGGCGGCGGCGGCGGCGATGAGCGACATAGTGGAGAAGACGCTGACGGCGCTGCCGGGACTCTTTTTGCAGAACCAGTCGGTTGGCGGGCCCGCGGGCGTCAAGGCTTCTTTCTCTTCGCGGCTGGGCGGCCTCGTCCGCGGCATCACAGCGCTAACCTCCAAGCACGTACGTGCTCCCGGGGCCGGGAGGTCAGGGGCGCCGGAGGGGGGTGTGGGCGGTGTGGGGAGGCCCTCGCGCTGGGAGGCCTAGCCCCGCCGGAGCTCCGGGGGAGCTTAGGGGCTGCGTTAGGCGTCCAGTCGGTCCCTGCGTCTGTCTGGAAGCGTCAGTTTCCTTCCGGGACCGACACCTGGCAGGCCGAGTTTCCGCAGTTGGCCCTGACCCTGAGTCGTTATTATCTGGGGCAGCCTCTTTAATTGTCGAGCCTTCTCGTATTTCCTGGAACGTTGACGTGGACAAGTACCCATACGTATTCTATAGGTTGTTCCGAGGATTAGATGGGCCATCAAGCGAGTGAAAACACCAAGTGCCGAGCCAGTGCCAGCTTTGTTTACCTTCTACGAAGTCCCTTTACAGGTCCCTTCACACGCCGGGACAGACCCTGCCATCTGAACCTATCGTTCAACATCTTTGGGGAGCTCGAGGTTCTTAGGTTAGACCAACCGGGGGGGTTGGGGGGGGCAAAGAAAAAGCGTTCATTCTCCCAAAATGTAAAATTTGTTGTCGGCCTCAGGTGGGCGTTGAAAATCAGCACTTGTAATAGAAGGTATTAAGCGTCCGCAGACTTTTGGTAGGTGAACGGGTTGTGCAAGATAAATGTGTGACGTCGTAATTTGTTCAAAATATGCTTATGGGAGAGGTTATGTGTTAGACACTGAGGGAAAAGAATAAAACATATTTCCTTTTTCCCAAGGAATTGGAGCTTAAGACAGATATAAGCAATATACAATGACAGATAAGTGCCCAGAGAGGAGAAATGACAGCTTAGAAGGATTTCCTTCAAAGTGCCCTGGGGTTTAAAACATTTTTTTTAAAAAAAGATTTTATTTATTTATTCATGAGACACACACACACACACACACACACACACAGAGGCAGAGACATGGGCAGAGGGAGAAGCAGGCTCCATGAGGATCCCTGGGTGGCTCAGCGGTTTGGTGCCTGCCTTCGGCCCAGGGCCTGATCCTGGAGACCCAGGATGGAGTCCCACGTCGGGCTTCCTGCATGGAGCCTGCTTCTCCCTCTGCCTGTGTCTCTGCCTCTCTCTCTCTCTCTCTCTATGTCTATCATGAATAAATAAATAAGATCTTAAAAAAAAAGGAAAAAAAAAAAAAGAAGAAGCAGGTTCCATGCTAGGAGCCTGACATGGGGCTTCATACTGGGGTTCCAGGATCACGCCCTGGGCCAAAGGCAGGCGCTAAACCACTGAGCCACCCGGGCTGCCCTAAAACATTTTTTTTTTTTTAATGTGAAATAAGATGATATGCCACTGGATGCTGTATTTCTGCTTCACATTCAGAAATCATTATTATGGACATACTATTGCTTGTCTCAATGCTTTGTCCTTTACTAATTTTTGTGAGATTCTGAATGAAGTTTAAAAAAAAGAATTATTTTTGATCTTAAATTGCAGTTTGAAGCTGTACATAAGATATCTAAATGTGGAAATGTGGCAGTACTTCACTAGTGGTTCTTGATAAGCTACCTAGTGGACATCTGCTGATCCAATGTGTAACTTTTTTTTTTTTTAAAGGTTTTATCCATTTATTCATGAGAGACAGAGAGAGAGGCAGAGACACAGGCAGAGGGAGAAGCAGGCTCCGTGCCGGGATCCAGATGCAGACTCAATCCAGGACCCCAGGATCACTACCCAAGCCAAAGGCAGATGCTCAACCACTGAACCACCCACGCGCCCCTGATTCAATGTGTAATTTAAAGATAGCATTATGTTAGCCAAAAATGAGACCAATATTCAAGTGTGCTAAGGAGGTGAAACACTGTGCAGACAGTAGAAGTGATCACAATGGTGTATTTATTGTGTGTATGAGAGAGATGGGAAGTGAGAGAAAGGATGTGAGGAATAAGGAGAAAATAAGGAAGCATATGGCTCTTATGCTACTTGTTATTCTACGAAGGCTTTTTACTTTTATTTGTTTATTAAAATTTTTTATTTTTTTATTATCTCTACAGCTAGTGTGGGGCTCAAACTTGGAACCCCAAGATCAAGAGTTGCATGCTCTACTGACTGAGCCAGCCAGGCGCCCCAGGACTTTTTACTTTTTTGTTTTTTAAAGATTACTTATTCATTCATTCATGGGAGACACAGGGGGAGAGAGAGAGAGAGAGGCAGAGACATAGGCAGAGAGAGAAGCAGGCTCCATGCAGGGAGCCCGACGCGGGACCCCGGATCTTCAGGATCAGGCCCCGGGCTGAAGACAGCACTAAACCGCTGTGCCACCTGGGCTCCCCAGGACTTTTTACTCTTTTTTTTTTTTTTTTTTAATAAATTAATTTTTATTGGTGTTCAATTTACCAACATACAGAATAACACCCAGTGCTCATCCCGTCAAGTGTACCCCTCAGTGCCCGTCACCCATTCACCCCCACCCCCCGCCCTCCTCCCCCTCCACCACCCCTAGTTCATTTCCCAGAGTTAGAAGTCTTTATGTTCTGTCTCCCTTTCTGATATTTCTCACACATTTCTTCTCCCTTCCCTTATATTCCCTTTCACTATTATTCATATTCCCCAAATGAATGAGAACATACACTGTGTCCTTCTCCGGTTACTGTGGCCAAGTTCAAAAAGGGTGTTGCCTGAGTTCTCCTCTGGGATTTTGATGGAATCTTGTCTCACATTTAGATCTTTCATCTATTTTGAGTTTATCTTTGTGTATGGTGCAAGAGAGTGGTCCAGTTTCATTCTTCTGCATGTGGATGTCCAATTTTCCCAGCACCATTTATTGAAGAGAGTGTCTTTCTTCCAGTGGATCGTCTTTCCTCCTTTATCATATATTAGTTGACCATAAAGTTCAGGGTCCACTTCTGGGTTCTCTGTTCTGTTCCATTGATCTATATGTCTGTTTTTGTGCCAGTACCACACTGTCTTGATGAACACAGCTTTGTAGTACAAAATGGAAGGAGAGATAAAGAGCTTCCAAGACAGGCAGGAACTGAAAGAATATGTGACCTCCAAACCAGCTCTGCAAGAAATTTTAAGGGGGACTCTTAAAACTCCCCTTTAAGAAGAAGTTCAGTGGAACAATCCACAAAAACAAGGACTAAATAGATATCATGATGACACTAAACTCATATCTGTCAATAGTAACTCTGAACGTGAATGGGCTTAATGACCCCATCAAAAGGCGCAGGGTTTCAGACTGGATAAAAAAGCAGGACCCATCTATTTGCTGTCTACAAGAGACTCATTTTAGACAGAAGGACACCTACAACCTGAAAATAAAAGGTTGGAGAACCATTTACCATTCAAATGGTTCTCAAAATATACCCTAAAAACTATAGAACACTTCTGAAAGAAATTGAGGAAGACACAAAGAGATGGAAAAATATTCCATGTTCATGGATTGGCAGAATTAATATTGTGAAAACGTCAATGTTACCCAGGGCAATTTACACGTATAATGCAATCCCTATCAAAATACCATGGACTTTCTTCAGAGACTTAGAACAAATTATTTTAAGATTTGTGTGGAATCAGAAAAGACCCCAAACAGCCAGGGGAATTTTAAAAAAGAAAACCATATCTGGGGGCATCACAATGCCAGATTTCAGGTTGTACTACAAAGCTGTGTTCATCAGGACTTTTTACTCTTAAAGAGAAAGTGTGAGAACCTTATCCTGGACCAATTCATGAAAAATTTCTTTTCTTCTTTCTCTCTACCTTTAATTCAAAACAAAACATTTTCTGCTAAACTGTCCTTGAGGGGACAATAATTAAGTGAAGGAAAAAGGCATGATGGATTATTCTTTCCAGGAATGATTGGGAGGGTTTGGAGAAATGCCTTTAGGCCAATGTTAAGCACATAATTTTTATAACTGTCCTTTAAAATAATGTGATTTTTTTGTCATTGAAAGGGTAATATTTTTCCTTTCAAGAAATATTGTTACAGTTTGGAAAGACAGTTATTCATGCATTTAAATACTTTCATTTTTTCAGGAGGAAGAGAAACTAATCCAACAGGAATTGAGTAATCTGAAAGCAACTGTTTCTGCTCCTACTACAACACTGGTAAGTTTGTATAGCTAGTGCCAGCTCATTTTATATTTGAAATCTGGTCCACTATGGAGTCTATAGTGGCATCTAATTGATCAGTTACTAAAATCTAATTTGTTATGGTCACAGTCAGTTATGGATGATAGCAAGTCAGACATCAGCTTGAGCTTTTTATTATTGACTGGCGGCACTGAAGCAAGACTTGCTTGACTGATGACAATTCAATGCCAATGTGATGATAATTACATAAATGTGGCAATACTGATGGGGCTCCAGTGCCTTTCTTATTGTTTTAATGTTGTGCACTGGGAAAAAGTTACCATATATCATCTGAAGTAATACTTTCAGCCCTGAATTATATGTGAACAAGGTAGAAACATGGTTTTCTTACTGTAAAACTATATGGCACAACACCTAAATCGAGTTCCAGTTATTTTAGAACTTGAGTTCCATGTAATTTGATTTTTCAAACAGCATTCATTTAGCAGCTGTTTAATGAGTAGCCGCTCTATGCAGGTCACTGTTTCTACATAGTTAGATTAAGACTTAAATTTTTTCCTTTTAATTAATTTTCATGTTTCATATAATGAGATTTTGCCAAGCAACATTATTCAGCAAATATTTAGTGAGTACCTCCTGTGTGTACATCACTGTGGGAGTATTTTCCCTCTTCTAATAAAAATATTGGGGTGATCATTTTGCATGAACGCATGCTTATGTACATAAATAACACTTTTAAAGTCTAAGAGTGTATATATTTCCTTTTATGATCATAGTAATGTGGACAAATGGAGCTCAAAATCTAGCTTAATCTGATATATTTATGTGTATATGTATAGATATGTCTGTGTGTGTATATGTATGAAATCATTGTGATATTTATTCATGATATTTGATAGAAATGTTAAGCAGAAGTGGTTTCTGTCTTTTTTCTTTGTTTTATTTCTATTTTTTATAATTGACATACCTGGAGAAATAAGATAAGTTAGGGAGCCAGAGTTCGGAAGGAAGATTTTATAATCATTATGACCATCCAGCTCTGGACATGCTTTCTTTTTTTGAGAGAGAGAGAGAGAGAGAGAGAGAGCGTGCGCATGATGGGGTAGAGGGAGAAGAAGAGAATCCCAAGCAAGCTCCACGCTCAGCATGGAGCCCCAGGCAGGACTTGATTCCATAACCCTGAGATTATGACCTGAGCCAAAATCAAGAGTTGGGCACTTAACCGATTGAGCCACTCAGGTGCCCATCTGGGCATGCTTTATAGTCTGTCCCTGAGGTGGTTGTGTAGAAGTTGTATGACAGTTTGGTAGAGAAATTATAAAAAAAATTTCTGTATTAGGAAATGGATTTTCTTTTCCAAGAGAATAATAATGTATGCATGTATAATTTTAATAAAATAGAGCTCATCATGACTTTTGAAAAACTCTGAGATAAAATGTTTGAAAACCAGGATTGGTACTTAATAGATTAGATGAACACTTTCACTCCTAATTGATGTGGAAGCTTTTGAAGAGGGACTTCTAGTATCTTTTAAGCTTGTTTTTTCAGTACTTAGTAGTCTTAATATACTAATGATTTAACTTTTATTACTTTAAACATAAGTGACTTGTATTAAAAATCTTTTTCTCCAAGCTTGATTTTCCTATGGTTTTTTAAAAAAAACTCTTCATATTTACATATATAAATATGATATACATACATAAATATGAATGAAATATTAAATATTATTATCCTTGCTTTAAAATATTTGTTATTTTCCAGGTATTTTGTGTAATATACTAACCTTGATTAATTTTTATATATTAAAATAGGTGTGAGCTTATTTTGAAACACATTTTATTTATATTTTTATTTATGATTAAAATTTATTATAGATATTGAGAATGTAAATATTATACTGAAAACATTTATACAATGCCTTAAACAACTTAATTAGCTTATATTGTAAGTATTGAAAGACCCGGTTAAAAAAATTAAATATTGTTTATGTAGTAGCTATACCAGAGTTGTTTAAAAAGAATGTCTGTAAAACAGACTATTGCATATTACATACAACAAAATAATTCTGAAGAAAGTCCGTGTGTAATTTGGTTTTTAAATGTGAAAGTTATTTTCTTTACAAATTATTACCAAGTTGTGGGAATTTTTTTTAAAATATTTTATGAGAGAGAGAAAGAGAGGCAGAGATACAGGCAGAGGGAGAAGCAGGCTCCAGGCAGGGAGCCCGAAATGGGACTCGGTCCCGGGACTCCAGGATCACGCCCTGGGCCGAAGGCAGGCGCTAAACCGTTGAGCCACCCAGGGATCCCCGACTTGTGGGAATTTTATGGATGTTTTTATTTGGCAAAGTATATTAAAATGATGTGCTCCATTCTAGAAGCCAAGTCATATTACTATTGATGAAATTTTGTCTGAGGACCATGTGTCTCACATTATAACCAAATGTACACATTTAGAATTAGACATAGCTACAATTAGGGTGTGCCTGGGTGCCTTAGTCAGTTGAGCATCTGACTGTTGATTTTGGCTCAGGTCATGATGTTGGGGTTGTGAGATTGAGCCTGGTGTTGGGCTCTGAGTCCAGCATCGGGCTCTCCACAGGGAGCCTGCTTCTCTATCTGCCTATGTCTCTGCCTCTCTCTGTGTCTCTCATGAATAAATGGATAAAATCTTAAAAAAAAAAAAAAAAGTTAAAATAATTTTACTAAAATCAATACTGTTGGTGAGCTAAGTTTTGGAGCAACTTTTATTTATAAAGTTTGACTTCAGGTTATGAATTTATAATATATGTATTGGTTATTTCTTTAGTGCCAGGATTAAGGGATTTCCCCTGTGAAATGATTGCAATATAATTTAAAAAAACAAAACATTCTACTTATTTATGCAATTACCGGTTATTTTGCTTTGCAGAAAATGATGAAGGAATGTATGGTGAGACTTATATATTGTGAAATGCTTGGATATGACGCTTCCTTTGGCTATATACATGCAATCAAGTTGGCACAACAAGGAAACCTTTTAGAAAAGAGAGTAGGTATGTATGTGTTTAAGATTTTTTACTTAATACTGTCCTTAAAGTTCTAGTTATTGTGTGAAATGAATGGTAGCAGGTATATAGTGTTTTTAGAACAGTGCCTTGTGGGCAGCCCCAGTGGCTTAGCGGTTTAGCGCCGCCTTCAGCCGGGGGTGTGATCCTGGAGATCCGGGATCGAGTCCCACGTCAGGCTCGCTGCATGGAGCCTGCTTCTTCCTCTGCCTGTGTCTCTGTCTCTCTCTCTCTCTGTGTGTCTCAATAAATAAATAAAATCTTTTTTTTTTAAATAAATAAAATCTTAAAAGAAAAAAAAAAAGAACAGTGCCTTGTAATTTTCAAAGCTTTAGAAGAGAACACTTCAAAAACTTAAAGCCTATAAGTGAAATCAGTCTTACTGATTCATGGCATTTTAGAGTTATGGAGAAGATTAAAATTTGCCTGAATCTGGGATAGTTAGATGACTATATGTATTTTTCAAAACTCATTAAACTATACACTTAAAAATGAGGAATTTTCTTGTGTATAAATTATACCTCAAGAAAGCTGATTTAAAGTTTGTCTCACCTCATCAGTTTAATGATTAAAAATATTTCTTTATAGAATAAAAACTGAAATTGACTTGAATAATTTAAAAAATACTGTTCTCAGTTTCATAAATGTTAGCTGTGAAGGTTAGAGGTATCTTTGGGAAAATTTTGTCTCTTTAATCAAACTATTAGGAAATGTCCTTTAAATTAAGGACTTAAATCTTTTATTCATGTAGGTTTAGCAGTGTATCAGAATCCAAGAAGAAAACACTTTAGAGTAATATAGGAGTATAGCATGTTCTTTATTCAAAGGAGTTGGTAGTGTTATATTTTCAAGGACCAGCATTCTTCACAAATTATATTCACCTGTGCTGTCAGATGCTGGGGTGGGGAAGGGAGATATTTTGGTAAAGATTCTGAGACTAGGTGCACCCAGTATTCTATTTTTATTGAAACTCAGTCCACTCTTCTTCTAGATTTGTTGTGTTCTTCCCTCCAAGGGAAATGTCCTCTGGCATCCTGTCTCTCCTTTTTCATATTCCAAATTAAGTTTTAACTTTTTGGTGATCACTTGGGTGGCTTTTACCATCTGTCATCTTACGGTGTTGTCTTTTCGTATATTAATGATTTAGCCCTCAAATTAATTCTAAGATCTCTAAAGGCCAGGAAATCTCAAAAACAATAGATGATCAATATCAGATGGTTGGTGCTATAATTTTGTACAGGTGTTGCTATGTTGTACTTCTTAGAATTTAATATAATTTTTTTCATTTTCTATTTAATTTTATTTTAAAAATATATAAAGTATTACATTGTTTAGAAGTTAAGACCTTATAAAAAGGTATAATCAAAGAAGTCTCACTTTTATCTCTATCCCCTTCCCCTTTTACCCAGTTTGGCCCTTATTCCCATAGGTAATATTTTCATTAGTTTCTGATAAATCTTTCCGTTGTTTCTTTTTTGCAAAACAAGTAAGTGTACCAGTACACACTCAAACACTCTCTTACCCAAAAGATAGCATGGCTATATAGATTATTTTACATTTTGTTTTGACATCTTTATTTATACAGTTGCATCATTTTCATTGGATGGGTGGATGGGCCATAGTTTTTCAACCAAGTCTCTATTGATGGATATATGAGTTATTTTTTATTCTTTGCTCTTGTAAATAGTGTTGCAGTGAATAACCTTGTACATGTTATTGATAGTTATAGAAGCTTATTTTAATAGTGACCTCAGAGTCATTTTTGTTGAGATTTATGACCTTAGGGAAATATTTTATTGCCTTGTAGAGGGACATATGTGTGTAGGTATCAGACATTTTTTATGTGTGCTAATGAGTAGAAGGTTTTTTTTTTTTTTTTTTTAAGATAGCATTTAAACTTTCTATATATATTCACTCTCTTCAGCTCCCCTGAGATTTCTGAGACTAGCTTTGGTGCTTTCTCTGTTGGAGATGGCTTCGTATTTTTTATATGAATTTTGTTGAAAAGTTACGTTTCAGTACCTATTAAGTCAGGCATGTTAGGTACTTTATCTTGTGAGATAGAATATTGAGGCTCAAAGGTTAAGTCATTTGTCCAAGGTTGTACAGTTAATAAATGGTGGAGCCAGAATGTAAACCCAATTTTCTGTGAGTCAAAGCTTATAATCTTATCCTATATGTCACTCTTTTATATCAAACATATTCCATAATCATAGTCATTATTCTTTGTCTTCTGGAACCTTTTCATTTTATGAGTCACTAAATATTTTCACATTTCCTGACTGTAAAAATAGTTAGGATATTCTTTGTAACAGATAGAGGTAAGGTTTTGTTGAGATAGTCTTTGAATTTGTTCATCTTCTCCTACCTTGATATTGGTGACTTGTTGTGAGTGATAACTTAGCTTATCACATGAGTTCTCCCCGCAATCTGGTAAGACCTAATCTCTTTAAATGCTGAGGTTTTTCTCATTTCTTTCTTGCCCCTGGTTAATTCTATCTTCTTTCTCATGCTCTGCTCCTCTGATCTTCAGTAAAGATGTTGAAATGGGTTATGCTGCTATTTCTTGGTTTTGAGAATAGGTAGTTTCTAACAGTTTGCCCATGATTTCCAGCCGATACACACATTATCTGGGAAATGATGGGATAGTTTAACATTAGAATTCTAATGAGAGGACTGAAAGAATTGAGAAGAATGGAAAGCATTAAGGGTGGGAGGCAGGGAATAGGGCCTCCACATAGACTGTGTGGAGAGACAGGACAGCATAGGTATTAAAACATGAGCTAGGGGATCCCTGGGTGGTGCAGTGGTTTGGCGCCTGCCTTTTGCCCAGGGCACGATCCTGGAGACCCGGGATCAAATCCCATGTCAGGCTCCTGGTGCATGGAGCCTGCTTCTCCCTCTGCCTGTGTCTCTGCCTCTCTCTCTCTCTCTCTCTCTGTGACTATCATAAATAAATAAAAATTTAAAAAAGAAAAGAAACTTTAAAAAAAAAAATAAAACATGAGCTAACTTTGACTGGCTGGGTTTGAGTGCTGGCTCCACCATGTAATAGCTATAGATTTTGTGCAGTTACCCTTTTAGGGCCTCATATTCTCTTTGGGATAATAATACTTCATAGAGTTGTGAAGATTGAATGAGGTGAGGCTTGTAATGCACTGTTCCATAGTAACTGTCTAACAAATGTTACCAGTGTGAAGAGTGACAGGAAATGACATGGAGTATCTAGATTCCATATATATATATGGCCTTTGTCATAGTATTAATGTATTTCCTCAATTCTAAGATGTACTTTTTTTATGTTTTGATATTGAAATAAAAATATTTACTTAAATCAGTGATTACATATAATGTGGTAGACTGTGTTTCTTCCCTCAACAACTGTTATTCTGTCAATAGTGTATTTTCATATTAAGAAAATAGGGTATTGTTTATGGCTTAAAATGTGATTTACGTCATATGGGTTGGTATTAGGTGGCTCATTTCTTTTTTAAGATTTTATTTATTTATTCATGAGAGATACACACACAGAGAGAGGCAAAGACACAGGCAGAGGGAGAAGCAGGCTCCATGCAGGGAGCCTGATGTGGGACTCGATCTCGGGTCTTTAGGACCACGCCCTGGACTGAAGGCAGGCGCTAAACTGCTGAGCCACCCGGGGATCCCTAGGTGATTCATTCAGTTGAATAGTTGCATGTTTGGCTATAAGATAGAAAAAATATATACGTATTTTAAAGATTTCATTTATTCATAGGAGACACAGAGAGAAAGGCAGAGACATAGACAAGAGAGAAGCAGGCTTCCTGTGAGGAACCTGATGTGGGACTTGATCTCAGGACCCTGGGATCACAACCTGAGCCAAAGGCAGATGCTTAATCACTGAGCCACCGGGTGCTCAGATAGAAAATATTTTGATTGCTTGTGTAGACATATGCACAGAAGATAGAAGGCATGTATTTCTCATGTCATGAATAGGAGTTCAAGGTGGTACATATAGCCTCTTTTCTGTTTCAGGTATATCCTGTGAAATACATGATTATGACGTATTTCAGGATAAAGCATACCTGAAATCTTCCTTAAGTTTTTGAACCTCATATTTTACAATCTGTCTTTATAGTTATTTATAGCTATTATCTTTGACACTTAAATTTTGGAATATATTATTGTTTTGTTTAATTTATTGGGAGAAGTTCATTTTTGGCAGGTAATAATGAGACTTTTTCCCTCAAATTTTATAGGTTATTTGGCTGTCTCTTTATTTTTACATGAAAGTCATGAACTGCTGCTTCTCCTTGTGAATACAGTTGTAAAGGTACTGCATTATATGTTAGTAAATATGAAAATTATTTCCATGGGCATCTGACATTTTGCCTCAAACATATTGAATTAGATATTGTTGGAAGAAGCCAGGCTTACAGAATGGACTTAGAAAGATCTTTTAGATCAGTTTCTGAGTTTATAAAATGAGGCTAATAATAGAACTTAACCCAGTTGTAAGGGTTAAATGAAACATTTAACTCTCTGCTGCTGTTATGGCTTCATTTGAAAGCAGATCTCCTCCAGACTTTTAGTCTGATACACTTTTCTGGCTGTTGTCTTTTTCTCTAGATCTGTTCTGAATGTACAAATTAATTATAAAGTTAGTAGAAGACTATTGAGTACATAGGACCATTGCAATGTTGAATTTACTAATCCTAAGTTTCAAAATTTGCACTGAATGTTTTGTTTGCTTAATTATTACGTCAGGATTTGCAGAGCACTAATCTGGTAGAAGTATGTATGGCACTTACTATTGTCAGCCAGATTTTCCCTCGAGAAATGATTCCAGCTGTTCTTCCATTAATTGAAGATAAACTTCAACATTCTAAGTAAGTCAGTTTTTTTTGGATACGGGTCTATACTATATTTTTCAGAATAAAAATTTATACTAAAACATTTATTATAACTTTAATTTAATGCTATTAGGGTGGAGGATATCCTTTGACTGCCAGATATTAATGCAAAAATCCTTGATAGCATCATGTATTTTATGTGGGTTCGAGAAAATGTCAGGCAGCTTTCTAAAGTTAAACTGAGAGTCAATGAGGTTTAGTGTCAGGAATCTGTGGCTTTCCTCTCAGTTCTACCACTAACCAGCATTGGTCCTGTTTTTCCTTTGGCTATATGGGGTTGGTTGAAGTGTGTTAGTTTTCACAAAGTTGTTTTGAGGATAAAGTGAAATGAAAAAAAATCTGGCAGTGGTTCAAGTGCTATGAATGCAGAGCTTCCCCATATTGGGGTTGCTTTCATAGCAAAATTGCAACATTCAAATTCTATTTTATAGCAGAACATATCCATATAAACCTTATTAACTTGTGGTATTTTGCTAATCTTGTAAGATTCCTTACAGCTTCACTATTTTAGTTATACAATCTTTAATATTTTTTTGTTATTCACACAATATTTATTTTATATGTCCCTTTAAGGTAGTATTTTTGGTGTTCTGAGATTATAAAGTGTTGTCTTATGGTTTGTTTTCTTTAAGAAATTTTGGACTGAATTATCTGGCTAAAATGATAGCTTTTACTAAGAATTATAGAATAACTTCATAGGCTTTTCAGACTTGTTTTAATATTTTATTTAGGTCAGATCTGTGTTCAGAACAAATGATAGCTATAGACAATTAATTACTAGAAATAAAGTACTAGTTTTTCTTAGATAATTACAGGTTGATCTGATCATAGCAAAGCATTATTTTTATGTAATTTTTCCATACCCTCATTGTTTTGTGGTAATCATACTTACAGAGTCTTTGTATGAAATCCTTCTGAGAACTGAATTTTTTCCTTTTTGCTTCCCATGTACTCTAATTTCAAATCCTGGCCTCTTTTCTCTTCCCCCAGTTAGACTGTTTGAAACTCTGCTTTTGCAATTATGGCCATACTTAACTCCATGTGGAAGAACATGGGTCAGAGCTATAGGTAGGCCAGGGGATGACACAAGGAAGATGTGGCTTGCACTTGACTTTTGAATTTCACCATGCCAGACCTATAGCCTCAACCCAGGTCTCTTGATGTCTTTTGTTAGTGTCACCATAGAGGGCCAGGCCTTCGGATTCCTGAGCCTGTTGAGTGTTTATATTTTATTTTACCTCATTTACCTACTCTCTTAGAACTGAAAAAAAAATTTTTTTTAAAGATTTTATTTATTCATAGAGACAGAGAGAGAGAGGCAGAGACACAGGTAGAGGGAGAAGCAGGCTCCATATAGGAAGCCTGACATGGGACTCGATTCTGGGTCTCCAGTATCACATCCCAGGCTGCAGGCAGCACTAAACCGCTGCGCCACCGGGGCTGCCCCATAGAACTGAAATGGTTAACACTCAATAGCAATACACCGAGATATGGTTTCCAGCCATCGTAGTATTAATACTACTAATGGCAAATCTGTTGTTAATCTGCTTTTTCTTTCTCTGTAAAAAAGAAGTTTCCATCATGCTATAGTTTGCCTAGGAGGATAGTAAGTTGCTTATTAATGGAATTTAGCAGAAGCTAAATTTGACATTTGTTAGGAATCTTCTAAGGGATATTCTTGAGTGGAACACAGAGGATTGCATTGAGTAATCTCAATTTTGAGATTCTGTGATTTTAGGTAACAAATATGTGTTAAGAAACCCTAAAAATAAATACTTCACTTTTGTGACAGACATTGCTGCTGTTATGAGTACTGCCAGCATAGCCTGCAAATATGAAATATTTAGAAATAGGCATGAGTGAGAAGAATAAGGAATATGCTTCCTTGGAAATTATATTATGAATATAGTATAGCTACTTAATATTTTTGCTTCTTGTGTGCTAGACAGTATCTGTTACAAATTAAGTGTAATACTAGTGTATACTTTCCTCTTCATTTTTTATAAAAAATATTTTATTTGAGAGAGAGTACGCAAGCACAGGGGTGGGATGGTGTGGGGGAGAGGGAAAGGCAGAGGGAGAAGCAGCCCCTGAGATCATGATCTGAGCTGAAGGCAGCCTCTCAACCCATTGAGCCATCCAGGTGCTCCTGCTTTCCTCTTCTTTGTAATGATATTTTGGAAACATGAGCTGGGCAAGGGGAAGGGTAACATCTTTTACTGTGAATCTCCCTTTCTATTTGGAGTATTTGGAGTCCTCTAGGTTTCCTATGGTACAAAAAAAAAGAAATATTAAAAGGTAGAATGTTACTGAGATTTTCAGTATTAATAAAGAGGTTTAATATTGCTAGCCAGAATTACCTGTTAAAGCTTTGAACTGTTGAAACTTTTCACAGTTTCTAGAGAGATGGCTTTCAAAAATGGAATTAGGGAGTTAAGGAATATGTTTATCTTCCTTGTTTATTCTGATTTCAAAAGTAATAAATACATGCTTATTGCCAAAAATTATGTAACTAGAACTATATAACATGAGCAGTTAGTCTCTTGAGGTCTTACCTCCTGGAGAGAACTACTTTTTATAGTTTGGTGGATTAGAATAAAGAAATTAGTATAAATGTATAATTCATTCTTTTTATATTAAGGTAATAGCTGATATTTTGAAGTCATCTCATCTATAATCTTTTTAAGCTAAATGTCTGACAATTCAGATGATTTATTTAGATTTTATTTTTTATCTTTAGGGAGATTATACGAAGAAAAGCTGTTCTGGCATTATATAAATTCCATCTTATTGCTCCTAATCAAGTACAGCATATCCATATTAAGTTTCGGAAAGCACTTTGTGACAGAGATGTTGGGGTCATGGCTGCTTCTTTGCACATATACTTTAGGATGATTAAGGTAAGTTGGAAATTTCAGGAGGTACTGAGTAGTTGCCATTAGAAAAATGTAATTATGGAATTAAAAGAAAACTCACGTTTTTCAGTAAATGCTTAATTAACATTTCAAATTTTTATAATTGACTTTTTTATAATTGACTTTTTAATAGTAATTTTGCAAGTTTGATAGCGTGAGTTGTGCATATTACAGGATTAGTCTCTTTTTTAAATGACTAAGTTTTTTTGTGTTACTAAAGATGTATGGAAAAATACCTTTGGAAGGTGATTGAAATTTGTAACTTTGTGGTTTTTTAAGCAGTGACTTTTAATTTTTTTTTTTTTAAGATTTTATTTATATATCAGAGAGAGAGCACGAGCAGGGAGAGGGGCAAAGGAAGAGGGAGAAGCAGACTCCTCACTGAGCGCCAAGTCTGACACTGGGCCTGACTCAGGGCCTCATACAGGGCTCGATCCTAGGACCGTCAGGTCATAACCTGAGCCAAAGTCAGACACTTAGCCAACTGAGCCACCCAGGTGCCCCAAGGAGTAACTTTCTTTTATACAAATTCCTGAGATATGTGTGACAGCTTATACAAATGAGGAGAGTGGATAGGGGTTGTGCAAGGTATATGGACTACTATGTTGTCTCCTTCCATCGATACTGTATCAGATCAGAAAGGAAGGTTGAATGGTATGGTAAAATTTTCTAAATGGTCATATAGGTTTATATTAATTCAGCCCCAGTGTATTTGCCTGAAACCCCTTTGTGTGTTTTATATATATGTGAGAGACTCCATGAGTACTATAAAACAAAATGGCATATGTTACTGAATTCAATTTACAATTACAGGTTGAAGGGTGTCTTCATTTTTATGGATTGTGCTCCAAAATAGATTGGTATAAATAGATAATTGATGTTAAATCTTATTTTTCTCTAACATTTACTAAACTTTCAAAGAGCTGTTATTTCCCTTCCAAAAATGTGTCCTTGATAATGAAATAAAAATTACAATGAATCTAATGTTTGAAGAATATGTATGTCATTTCCCCAGTCATCAGATAAGTAACCAAAGCACACGCATTCAGAAGCACAGGTGTGTTTAAATACTATAGGGTTAATAAATTTTTAAAAGGCAGATGCACTGATTTTGGGAGGTTTGAATGTTTGAGTGGTCTTGACTGCCCTGTGCTCCTCCACCCAGAACACACTTAGATTACTTACATGAGAAGTCTTTTGCAAACAAAGTTTAGAGATTGCAAACAGGCTTTGATTTTCATCAAAAGTAATGGTAATGCTGCCCCTTTTCAATATGCCGGTTCTTTTCCCTTTTTGATTTAATTGCTGGTTTTGGCTAATAAAAGTTCTATATAAGATGTAGTTATGAGAACTTATGAAATGTGATTGAGACTATGTGGGGATAAGTAGAGAGTGGTGCAAGCTTTTGAGGGATGATTCAGCTTTGGATCAAGTAGCCAGAGTAGTTTCATCATGAAAGAAATCAAACAGATTAGAGCACTGTTTGATTAAATGTGAACCTGAAACTTCTAAGTGAACATATATTAAGTTAGATTCTGTATGGCATTTCAACCAGATCTATTTTATATTTGATAAGACATTATTCTTAACAGAATATTTTTTGTTTTTGTTTTTTGTTTGGTTATAGGAGAATTCATCTGGATATAAAGACTTGACGGGGAGTTTTGTGACAATTTTGAAGCAAGTAGTTGGAGGAAAGCTCCCAGTAGATTTCAATTACCACAGTGTGCCAGCGCCATGGTTACAAATCCAGCTCTTGAGAATATTAGGACTACTAGGAAAAGATGATCAAAGGTAAACTATTCTAAGTAAACTTGATACTCTGATAGCCCATCACCTAGAAGTTTCATACGTCAGATCCCAATGTTTAATTGGCTTAATAATGATAAATAAGCCATTTTAAGAAGTATATAACAGGTTGCTGGGATAATCCTGGCCCTCTGCTTATCTAAATTCTGCTCATAGGGAAAGGTACCTCTGAGGCTCCTTTTCTTCCATGAAACCTTCTTAATCATTCTAGTGTAGGGATTGGGAAACTTTCTGTAAAGGTCCAGATAATAAATATTTTAAGTTTTATGGATTGTATGTTGTCTCTTGTAGCCATTTAAGCCTGCTGTTGTATAGCTCAAAAGCAGCCATAGACAACATGTAAATGAATGAACATTGCTGTGTTCCAAAAAAACTTTCTTTGGACATTAAAACTTGTATTTCATATAATCTTTATCTGTCATGAAATATTATTCCTTTGGAAAAAAAATTCTTCCTTTGATTTCCCCCCCGCCCCAGTCATTTAAAAATGTAGACCATTCTTAGCCTGTAGTCATACAAAAACAAATATCCAACCAGGAGAGGCCTGTGGACGATAGTTTGCTGACTCTTGCTCTAATTGAATATGAGTACTTCATCTTAATTTCTTTGTCTGGGTTATTCTTTTAGCCAGTACTTTATATTAAATTTTTTATGGGTGTCTTTTTGATTATATATATATTTTTTTAGCTTTTTATTTTGCCATAGTTTTTCAAATTTAAAGGAAAGTTCCAAGAATAGTACAAGAAGCTTCCTTGTACTCTTTACCTAGAGTCATCAATTATTTGCATTTGTCTTACTGTTATTTCTCACTATATATGTACATACATATTTTAAAATTTTTTTTCCTGAACTGTTCAAGAGCAAGTTGAACTAGATTTTAGTTCCCTTGAGAGCAAGGACCATGACTTGAGTTTCTGTCTTAAGAAAATATTTACTAAAAAAAAAAAATTTTCTGATCAGTGTTTTGACTTTGTGAGATATGGTTCTCCTCCATGTAGTAGGGTACCTTCTAATTCTTTGGCCTAGCTTTACAAAGGGATTGTCTTCTAGGCTCTTGCTCCTACTAATTCCTTGTCAGTGTCATGTCACTGTCCATCTGCCTGTGAGCTCCTAAGGAGAGCTAATTGGACTTTATCACTCTTGGTATTGCTATGTTACTTTTTCTGTGTTTCTGAATCTCAATTCCTGATCGAAACCTAAGTCAAAAAACTGGAGGTGATGGAAGTAGATATGCACATTAAAAGTGTTTGTCCTAATTTTATTGTATATAATCCAACCTATCCTGTTGTGTAGCTCTAGTTGGAGTTCACTGGAATTCTGTTTTAAAATCATGAATTTCATAATAATGCAACCAGACCTCACTGATCTAAAAAGATCCAGTGACAATATGTTTTCATGAAGTAACTTTGGAGGCATTTAGTGAATTTACTAAATTTATTAACTCATTATCTTCTTTCCTTTATGAATGAATGTGTGGAATACATACAAAGTTACAAACAATACAAACAGAGTGCTTGTCTCCACAGAGAGCTCAGTTGGCATAGACTCATTCGAAATGAAATGAGTAGAGTGGAACTCTTTACTGATGCTGTGGAACATTAAATATTTTTTCCTTTGTCCCAACTCTGAGATTTTATGTTAACACAAATCTTGTATTTTTAAAGACGTGATTAGCTCAGTGTGGCAAAGTAAAAATGTTATTTTATAACAGGATTCTAATATATTTAATTGAAAGAGATAATTTACTGGAAACATCTTAGATTTATATTCTTTTATGTCTATTGTTTGAATATTTTCTTGTGTTTTATAGCATTCTTCGTCTTAGGTTATTAACATTGCTTGATCATGTCTGCAAACGTTTCCACATTTTCATGTGGTTAATTATGACTCTTATGCCAGACATTGGCTTTTAAAATTGAGAAACTAGACTGTAATCTAGGTGTAGTATTACCAAATTTGAGGTGGGGGAAGGGTTGTAATGTCTGCTTTGTGGTTATTGTCTGGAAAAAAGTGCTTACACAATAAAATGAGGGATTTTAGAATATGGTTCTGGATTCTCACTGGATAATTACATGTTAGTCAAGATAGAATAAAAGTTATGTACTTAAAATTAAATTTTATAGTTGTATATTTGGAAAAAAGAAATTTTCTGAAAAAGAAATGTTGATATGTTATTTGTGTAGCCCTATGTTATTTTTGAATTTTTTGTTTGTATTACAGTATAGTTTCTCTGCAAGACTACTGTGTGTATCATATGTTGATGGTAGTTTTTTTTTTTTTCTGTTAGTGCTTTTTGAACTTGTAAACTATAGACAGAAATGCCAATTTAGGAGCCATAGTTTCACACTGACTTCTTGGAGAGGACTTTTCTAGGTTTGGAGGCAGAATGCTCTAGAAAGCACTGCATTTTCTTACAGTAGCTACCTCAACCCAGTAACTGTAATTGTAATCAGTAACCATAAAGACATAGGAGTGGTACAAACCTGTTTCACAAAATGAAATTTCTTTACATTTAACATAAATGAAAGTTGAAATTTTTTCCCAGAGAACCTGGTGCTGCTCAAAGAAAGACGGTATTTGAATATTAAAAAAAAAAATTACATGGTTACCATCTGGAATAATCTGGATGTGTGAGGTATTACTGTAGTAACTTGAAACAGGTAGCATATTTTATTATAAATAAAATTATAAAAGGTAGTATGCTCAACGAAACAAAAGCCTGATTTGTAGACTAGGTATAGGTAAAGAGTTGATTGACTTATGGATATCTCTCCATTGACTAGTCAGCTTTGATAAAACAGGAAATTAAACTCATGAGAAAGAGCAAATGGAATCTTGAAGAAGTGAAATTTCCATATCTTCATAAAATGAATTTTTTTCACTTCTTTTCTGTAGATCCTCAGTTTTAAAGAGAGAGAAGTTTGAAAAACTGTTTTATTGAGTTATAATACTATAATTCTACTGCAAATAAAATATCTTTTAAACAGGACAAGTGAATTAATGTATGATGTTCTTGATGAATCCTTACGAAGAGCCGAGTTAAATCACAATGTCACATATGGTAGGTAACATATGTAAATGCTACTCTAATGATTAACAGTGCTTTTTGGTATTTTAGCAAAATGTGTGTTAGACTACTATAAATTCCAAAAGAATTTTGTATGTTAATTTTTAAGATGGTTCTTTGGGTTATTTTTCAATGTAAGCATTGGATAATAGAACTACTCTGAAATTATGACTTTGTTTTAAACATTGACCTGAATTATAATTAAAATTCTCTCTTTTTAAAATATTTTATTTTTAAAGAGAAATTGTTTTTATATTAAAAATATTCACTAAGCATCTAATTGACTGTGAAGGTAACCCATAGATCTGTTCCATCCTTACCTCTGGATGATCCTTACTGACACAGGTGGTTAGGCTAGGAACTGTCAGACGAGAGAGAAATGTCAGAGTCTTTGCAGGCAGTCAAGATAAAAAAGTTTTACTTGAGATATAATTAGTGTGTAGGATAAGAGTGTGAAAGACTTTCAAGGAATTCTGTTTAGAATCAGTTAAGGATCTGCTTTTCTTTTTCTTGTAGAACTTTTTTTGTTTTTATTTTTGTAATTGACATTTCAGCTTTAATTTTTTTTTTTGGAATAGGTAATATTTGCACATGGTTCAAAATTCAAAAGGTACAAAAAAGTATACAGTGAACAGTAAGTGTCCCTTTGACCCTTACCACTACCACCCAGTTCCCTTTCTTGGAGATAACCACTGTTACCCATTTCTTTTCACTTGGAGAACACTGTATACCCGAAAGAAATATTTTTTAATGTTTCCTACGAGGGCACCTTTCTTTTATTAAAATTTCTGGGAACACCAGTAAATTTGCTTCTTTGTAGGCTGTTAGTCCAGTGTTTCACCTTGCCATGGAAACCTTATAGTTTCTGTTGTTTTGTTTATTTCTTTTATTAATCTTTCCCTCCTTGTTAAGGCTTCTCTCCTTCTGTATTGATACAGTTATAACTGACAGTGATTTTGTCAATGGTAGACTATTCTCTCATAGTGCTACCATAAAGAGTTTATTGCTGAAGAATGTGCATTTGAAATTATTAACTTCTTAAGGGAAGAGACTGAGTCTAGCCCAGTATCTGGTATTGGGTTAATCAATAATTAAAATGTTTTAGTTGAGGGATGCCTGGGTGTCTCAGCGGTTTAGCATCTGCCTTTGGCTCAGGGTGTGATCCTGGAGTCCTGGGATTGAGTACCACATTGGGCTCCCTGCATGGAGCCTGCTCTCTCTGTGTGTCTCTCATGAATAAATAAATAAAATATTTTTTTAAAATGTGTTTTAGTTGAATTAAAGAAAAAGAAGATTACTTTTATTAGTTATCTGATTGGATTTTGGCTTTATACTTTCTAAACCATATTTTTATGAAAGTTTCATTATTATAACTTACCTTAGTGTTAAATCAAGGCATAAAACATACCAAAGACATTTATTGACTGCTGTTATATACCAGACATTATACAAAGTGATATAGAGCATATGAAGAAGTATAAAATATAATCTTTGCCTTCAAGGAATTTAATATATATATATATTAAAAGATTTTATTTGTTCATGAGAGACTCAGAGAGATTGGTGGAGACATAGGCAGAGGCTTCCTGTGGGGATCTTGATGTGGGACTTGATCCCAATGACCCTGGGATCATGACCCGAGCCAAAGGCAGATGCTCAAGCACTGAGCCACCCAGACGTCACAGGAATTTACAATATAATGGGAGAAATAGCTTATTTATGAAAGCATAATACCCAGTATAAGGTAGAATGCTAAGTGGTGGTGCAGGGAATAAATACTGTAGGAGTCCAGAGGTGGTAGAGATCACTGTGGGCCTGAGGACTACACACAAGGATTTATGGAGGTAATGGGGCTCTGAAAGGTAGGTTGGATTCAGATAGTCAGAAGGGAGGTCTAGGGGGCCCAGGAAGAGGAAACATGAGAGAAGGTATAGAAGTAGGGATGTTTAAAACTGTTTCAGAGAATATTGACTTACCAGCAGCCTGCATGGACATTTCATAGTGGGAACAGTGGAAAGGCCATATTGCAGAGGTCCTCTCATGGCAGCCAAGTGAGTTTGGTTTTATACTGTATATAAATCCAGAGATATGGAAGATATTTAGGCAGAGTACTGATAAGATGAGAGTAACATTTTTCATAAGCTATTTAATAAATCAGGAGACTTCTATATAATGGAGTACAAGGAACAGAACCATCATTTCCCTGTTTTTCCCTCTTATGGATATTATATGTAAAATTAACATATGACTCTGAAAGGTGGAGAAATGAAGGTAGACTGGATTGGGACCTTGCAATGCAAGGAACAATGTCACAGTGAATACCTTGGGTTTTCTTTTTGCCTCATAGTCCCCAAACTGGGTACAGGAGAGCCAGCAACCTGGAAACACCGACAGGTGCAGACAAAAATGCCCCAAGAAAAAGGCCTGCTGTCTAGCTAAAGGACTGACAAGAAAAGGGCAAAATAGCAAGATAGAAGACGTAGGCAATAGCCTATTTTTAAAAAAATTTGCATTTATTCTATGCAGAATTTACTACTGAGCTGTGTTTGTTTCTTTAGTTTCTTCTGGGATGTTTTTTTTTCTGTATAACTTCCTCTTCTGGTTTAGGAGCAGTCTGCTCTTTTTCAGCAAGGATCATCTTGATGTGGCAGGGAGAGTTCATGTATGGGTTAATCCGGCCATGAGCCCTGTTGAGTTCTACGCTGCATCTTGGCTGCTCTGTTCACCTGGATGTGCTCGATGACCAGAGGATCTATCTACATGTAAACCCTGAAAAGTTCAGCATTACTCTGCATTTTTAAAGCACGTGCAGTAAAAATTCAACATTCTTCTTGGCCCACTGACCCTGTGTCCAGGCCCACTGTTTGGCCTGGGCACACCTACCAGCTCCACCATTGTAGTGACGGAATGGCACACACTGCTTCTGCAAAGTGATATCTTTCATATATTAGGTGGCTTTTCAGATAGCATACCCTTGATGGCCTGGGTAGTTTCATGTGTGTCCTTAAAATGAATATGAAGATTTGGACCTCTTGATTTGCATGATTTTGTAGGGTTTTTTGGGTCGAGTGAATAGCGAACCATTTTCAGAGGTTACCTCAGGGCGCTTAGGGGAAGAGCTAGCCTCTCTATCCCAGCCAGCCATCACACATGGCAGAAAAGACTGAGTGGAAAGCCAAGATTTCCCCTTCACCAGGTATAACTAGCTTCCCAACCCTTCCACTGGACTCATGGTGGAGAAGCCCAAGAGGAGAGCAAGAACTTCATCCCTCCCACGTGTTGAAGGGGGTCACCCCTCCCTTGCACTGTCAGTGGGGATGATGTGGGGAAGCTGGGATTTCTCATATTTAGGAATAGGGAGTTAACGAAGTACTTCTCCTGTCTTTGCTGGGGTGGTGTTAGAGGAAGCCTACTAGAGAGTTGGAGCTTTTACCACTGGTCAGGGATACTCAGGCCATGCTAGCAGTATCAGTGGAGGCCACGTAGGGAGTACTAATGAAGTAATGCCCCTTCCTTTCCCAGGCAAGATAGTATCAGCAGAGGTTCCCATCCCCTACCCAGAGGGAACAAGGATCCCTTCTCCTAGTGTCAAAGGAGGCAGAGTGGAGAACCTGGACTTCTATCCCCATTGGGTGGTACCCACATCTCCTTGCCAAAGTGGGGTCAACAGATAGAGACTTAACTTACTTCATATGAAAGTAAAGTCTAGTCTGAAGGATAAGGTGTCAGTGGAACCTCTTCAAATTTTGTGCATAATTGAATACCAAATACCTATGATAAAACCACAGTATTACAAATGTCAGAATGTTATTTTTAATTTGATAATTTTTACTTGATAATTTGGTTAGGACCTAGGTTGCTTTGGAAGAGAAAATAAAACTTCACATTGTGTTTTTACATTTATTTAGAAATCCTCAGAAGCACTTTTTTGAGACCTCTGTAGAGGGGAGACATTAGGGTGGCCGCTATTTCATTTGTGGACTTAGATTTTTGTAGAGCAGTGGAATAAAGGGACTTAGCTCCAGTGGAAAAATAATTAAAAAACCTATTAAATTCATTTTTAGCTCATTTATGCCTAAGTTGACTAAAAAGTGTAATTTTTGAACTAGTAATTTTACCTGTACTAGCTTTCCAGAAATCTAAATAAGTTTAGATTTTAGGTGGGTAGAGAAGCTTTTGTAGTAACACAGTTTGATAGCAGGAGAGTTCTGAATGGTAGGAATCTGTAAAGGAAACCATGTCAGTTATAACAGAAGATGGAGAATATTTTTTTTTTCCCCAAAGATTTTGTTTATTTACTTGAGAGTGGGAGAGCACATGAGTGGAGGGGAGAGCAGATAGAGAGGGAGAAATGGGCTTGCCACTGAGCAGGCAGCCTGACTTGGGGCTTGATTTGGGGATCATGACCTGAGCTGAAGGCAGACGCTTAACTGACTGGGCTACTGAGGTGCTTGAGCAGCATTATTTTTAGTCTTACTTAGGGCTGCCTGTTAATTCAGGGTTTTTGGCAAACTTTTTCTAAAAAGGGGTCCAGGTAGTAAATATTTTAGGCTTTGTAGGTAACATAGGTTTTCTTTTAAAGATTTTATTTATTTACTCATGAGAGACCCAGAGAGAGGGTCAGAGACATAGGCAGAGGGAGAAGCAGGCTTCCCAGGGATCCTGATGTGGGACCTGATCCTGGGACTCTGGGATCACATCCTGAGCCAAAGCCAAACTCTCACCATTGAGCCATGTAGGCGTCCCGGTACCATAGGTTTCTGTCAGAAACTCTCCTTTGTTTGCTTTGTTTTTCTTATAACCTTAGTTTTTAAAATTTATTTTTATTTTTTAAAAATATTTTATTTTAGAGAGCAATGGAGTAGGGAGAGAACGAGAGAGCAAGTGACCGGGAGGGAGGCGTGAGGAGCCGGGGGGGAGTGGAAGAGAGAGGGAGATGGGGAAAGAATCTCAAGCAGACTCTCTGGTGAGTGGGAAGCCCATTTTGGGGCTTGATCTCAAGACCCGGAGATCATGACCTGAGCTGAAACTAAGAGTTGGACGCTCAACTGACTGAGCCACCCAGGTGCCTCTTTTTCAGAAACTTTAAAAAATATATTTGTACACCTGAAACTAAAATAAGTTGTATGTCAGTTATATCTCAATTTAAAAATGTAAAAATTATTCTTAGTTTACAGGCTTGCAAAAGTAGGCCAAGGGCTAGACTTAGTAATTTATCGACTCCTGCCTTACTTGGTTAGTCACTTGACCAAGCCTCTCTTTGTTTAGTTCATAAAGTCATATGTCTGCTTTTTTCATAACACGGAGTAAGGACAACTTACAGCACAACATCTGAATATACAGTGTATCTTTTTAGGTTTAATTAACTTACTTTGTAGGGTTTCTTTTATTTTTATTTTTATTTTTATTTTTTTTTAATTTTTATTTATTTATGATAGTCACACACACACAGAGAAAGATAGGCAGAGATATAGGCAGAGGGAGAAGCAGGCTCCATGCACCGGGAGCCCGACATGGGATTCGATCTCGGGTCTCCAGGATCACGCCCTGGGCCAAAGGCAGGCGCTAAACCGCTGCGCCACCCAGGGATCCCTCTAGGGTTTCTTTTAAAGTCAGTTCCCTTCTTAGGGAGAAATTTATATTTCTGATTCATTTTCTCTTCTATAGAAAGGGTTTATATAAAGCTTTTTACACAAAATCTGGGTGTAAATTGATAGGCAATTTAGCAGTGTAAAACATAGCTTGTTGAATATTCAAGATCTATCTTGTACACAAAAAAGTATCTGATTGTTTTGTTTTAGGCTTTTGGAAATAGAGAAGAAATGATTCTATCAAGGACACTTGGATATGCTTCAATTTGTAGTAGAACTGTTAAGTCTGTTGGATTTCATGTCTCACTTCTCATTGCTGTAACTCCATAGCACATGCAGAACTTAATGATGCTTCACTGGTTTTTCTTTACCATGGCGATGGTACACCTCCTTGACTTAGGAACTTTAAAAAAAGTTTGAAAAAAAATTTTAGTGTCCACTTTGATCATCTATCATATTTATCAGAGCTTTGACTATATTAGAAAATCAAATTTGAACACTGTCAACAAGATGTTCAGTTGATTGTTCTATGTTTTTTGAGACTGGTTTTAAAGGACTGACTTGAGGATTTTTTTTGAAGTGGTCCTACTTTGAAATGAATGCTAATGCATCCTAAAATGATTATATTAAAATAAACTATATATATTGGTTCTGTATGTAAGTGGTAGAAACTGCTTGAGAACAAGTTATTTTAAAGCATTCAAGGAGTGTTGGAAATAATGTTTATATAAGAACAATGAGTGTGGGCAGCCCCGGTGGTGCAGCGGTTTAGCGCCGCCTGCAGCCTAGGGCGTGATCCTGGAGACCCGGGATCGAGTCCCACGTCGGGCTCTCTGTATGGTGCCTGTGTCTCTGCCTCTCTCTCTGTCTCTCCCTCTCTTTCTGTCTCTATGAATAAATAAAATAAAATAATCTAAAAAAAAAAAGAACAATGAGTGTATTACTATGTGTACATTAGAATGTGAACTCCATAAAGGCAGGGTTTTCTGTCTTACTTTTTTTTCCCCACTGTTGTATCCATACTGTTACAACAGTGCCTGGTGCACATAGGAGGTATTCAGTAAATACTTGTTGCATGAATGAATGCATCATTTCTATCTATCTATCTATCTATCTATCTATCTATCTATCTATCTATCTAATTCTCTTTAGATTGTGCTGTGGTAACATAATCCTGGTAAGTGTGTAAGCCTGAAAATATCAAAGTTCCTGTCTTTGAAAATTTTCCATAGATAAGATTTTTTTACTAAAACTGACCTTTTAATCTGTTTTGTTATGAGTTCTATACAAGTATGTTCTTTTATTATGCCTTAAAATGATCCCTGATATTTTATATTTTCTTTTTCCAGCGATTCTGTTTGAATGTGTGCATACAGTTTATTCTATTTATCCTAAATCAGAATTACTTGAGAAGGCTGCCAAGTGCATTGGAAAATTTGTTCTTTCACCTAAAATAAATCTCAAGTATTTAGGTAAGATGATTAGGAAAGTTTTAGAAGATTTTATTTATTTATTTATTTGAGAGAGAGGGAGCACTGGCCACTTGTGCATGAGTGGGGGGAGGGGCAAAGGGAGAGGGAGAGAGAGTCTCAAGCAGACTCCTTGCTGAGCATGGAGTCTGATGCAGGGCTGGATCTCATGGCCCTGAGCCACCCAAGTGCCCCAAGATGATTAGATAATATTGACAGAAATTACAAAGAGGACTCTTGAAATTTGCTGAGTATTTGTTTCCAGTCACTTTATATAATGTAATCTTTGTTTTTAGGACTGAAGGCTCTTACCTATGTTATACAGCAGGATCCCACTTTGGCTCTTCAGCACCAGATGACAATAATTGAATGCTTAGACCATCCTGATCCCATTATTAAAAGAGAGGTAAACTGATATTTTGAATAGTGTATGCAGAGTGTTATTAAACTTTTTTTGGTATTATGGAGAGAATTAAGTAGTTGGCATTGTGTATGTGCATGTATATATGTTTACACACGTGTATTTTAACTTTTGAGTCTATTTTATTTTTTCTACTAAAGTTTAAGGAGCTTTTCTAAAAATTCCTATGTCAGTATCCTCATGGATGGATTTAAACTATGAGTTGGAGGAGTTAGGTTCAGTTACCTGTATGGATTCATTAATATCTTTTTGGTCCAAGAGGAAAACTAAATTCTCTTTCCAGGTCTTTATGTTAATACAATTTAAGATGTAATTTATGACTATTAAGATTTTTTCATATTCTGCTTAACATCTGTAAAGTGGACTAATGCAGTCTCTATTAAATATGTAGGAATATTAAAAGAATAAAGATAACCCCAAAGTGATTTGAACTGCTTGGGAGGAAAGGTGTATAATTTAGTTAATTTTTTTCAACTTTTCCCTTTTGTCCACTGGGTGTCTATATAAATAGTTCTATTAATTTTCATTAAAGAAATCATTCTGTACCTTCATTTAAAATGGTATATGGGACCTAGTTGAGTAGGTAGTTCTATTTTTGGTTTTAAAAATAATAAAGATAATTTACTGAACATCTAAGTTACTTAAAAGCAGTGAGTTCAAAATAGTTTATTGAAAGAACACTATTTCATTGAAAAATTTTAAAAGATAAAATTATAAATTTTGAATTTTAAAAGGTATTATTTTTGAAACAAAAATAATTTTAAGAAGTCAAATACATTTATTTCTTTTTTTTAAATTTCTTTTCTTTTTTATAAGAGAGAGAATGCAGAGAGGGAGGGGCAGAGATAGAGGAAGAGAGAGACTGTTAAGCAGGCTCCACACTCAGCATGGAGCCAGAAGTGGGGCTCCATCTCACAACCCTGAGATCATAACCTGAGCTAAAATCCAGAGTCAGGTCAAACGCTTAACCAACTGAGCCGCTCAGGTGATATATATATATATTTTTTTTTTTCATTCATATTTTTATTCTTTTGAAAATTGTTACCTGTCTCAAATGAATATGGGAAGTTCACAGATACATAATTTCTTTGTGTATTCATCATAGAAAAATGAGAAGGTGACAAAGGAAAATAACAAATAATTACATGACTCTTGCACTTTGAACAGATACAGAGCATGTGTTTTCTTTTTGTGATTGGCTACTAAATTGAACAGAGTTGACTTAGTACAGTTTTCTTATTGCTGTATTTAATTTGAGGGCTCTCATTTAAAAATGAGAGTCAAAAATAAATAAAAATGAGAGAGGGAAAATAGAATTCTTTTCAAGTCTGATCTGCTTAAAATTACCTGCAGTGAGAAACGCAGTTTGAATTCTTTGGGGAAGATACTGAGTTTCAGTGGTGCCCCACGAAGGCACTGTAGTACTGTCTCTTTGAATGCTGCTGTCACATCTAATCTCTATAAGTAATTACATAAACTTTAGTTCCTGGGTATGGAGTGAGCTGTTGCTTCAGACTGGGATTCCCTTTTACCTGGTTTTATTATCTTTCTTTCTGACAGGGAGAAAGAAGGCATAGAGCTAACATAAAGGACCTCTAGCTAGTCATGCAGTTCCTAACACCATATCCCATGTAGTCCTGAAAATGCTAAATTGCATGGTCTTAGAGTAGGAAATAAATTGGGTGTAAATTATCTAAAAATAGATAGTCTAGAGTGTATAGGGAGCATGTCTGAGACAGCTACATAAATTGGAAACTATTGATATGGGACTTGTGTTTTTGTAGATTTTAAATAGAGTTTAAGATGAACTGAAACCGTTGTCTTTTGTACCTGAAATCTTGGCTATAAAGATTGAAAAATTACAAAGAGCCCTAAAGGTATTTTGAACAAGTTTGACAAGGAGGATATGTGGAAATTCTCCTGACAGCTAATGTTGATTCTGAAATACCAGTAAATATTACTTTTTCAGTATTGCTTTTGGTCTTGTATTGATTTCTGGGAGTTATAATATTTTTAGCACCTTAATATAGGGCCTCAGAAAGCCCAGCCAAATGGGAGCTTACTCTGGTACCAGTCTTCCTTCATCTTACTTGAGGAAGCAAGAGGTATATCCCTGAGCATTGAGAAAGTGGCTATAACATGGTTTTTACTTGCTGCCTGAGATTCTGACCTTAAGCCTTGCTAAGGCTTTGAGGCACTTGAGCCACCAACCGTTGTCTATCCACTAGAGGCCATTTGCTCTCAAGTGACAAACCCACTTAGGGGCTGTTTTCTATTGTTTGGGTACTGGAGAATAAAGTTTGCAAGACTGGATTTTTTAGATATGTATGTATGTGTATATATACAAGTGCACATACAGGCATAAGTAATACAGGTTTAAGAAGCTGTTACATTTTTAGAAAATAGATTATAAGCCTTTTAAGTTTTTGGTGTTTACGTGGCCTCTTATGTAGGTAGTCAGATTATAATTATTGATATCAGTTAGAAGGCTTTTAGACTTTGGAATTGATCATAATTTATTTTTTTGACACTAGGTTCTACTTTTCTTAAGTTCTGTTTCAGTTAAAATGTGCATTTCTTCAGCACCTATTAACTCTGACTGCCCAGTTGATCCATGTAAAAGTGGGAGAATCAACTGTTGTTATAAATCTGTATATTGCTGTATTTATTGGCATTATCATTCATAAATGATATTATTTTATAATACTGTTTTTATTCCTTTTTCTTATAGACACTGGAACTTCTTTACAGAATTACTAATGCACAGAATATAACAGTGATTGTCCAGAAAATGCTTGAATATTTACATCAGAGCAAAGAAGAATATATTATTGTCAATTTGGTTGGCAAAATAGCTGAGCTTGCTGAGAAATATCCTTTGTTTGGACCATGAGTCATGAATGCCTTTGGTTACATAGTAACTTTAGAATGATTGGTTTAGGTATAGTCTCTTGCAAATTGAATTCAGAGATGCAAATTCCCGTACCTGATAATCAAGTGTTTCTTATCAAAAATGGGAATTGTGTAGGCTTCTTAGTGGATGGCTTTTTCCTTGGTTCTTTTCTTTTGATTGGTCAGTATTATGAGCAGAAAGATAAAGGAACCCCTGCCTGATTCCTCTTTCAGTGCCTCCTTGTCTTTGACTTTGCTTCATACTTCGTTTGTTTTCTGGTAAAAGTTCTTGTTTTTTGCAGGGGGCTTTGGGAGTAGGGATCTACTAAATCCTAAATCCTACTCCTTTTGGGAGTAGGGATCTATGCTAAAATTTATCCTTTCCACTATTGTTTATACTGGAACTTGTCACAGTAAGGTGGTTGGGAACTCCATTCACATGTCACTTTTCACATTTCCTTTTTAATTTAGAATAAAGTTATAGGTCACAAGGATATTCTATCCTTTTTAAGATGTCTGTTATTTAAAAGAATAAATGCATGGTGCTAATCCAGTTGTCTTGGAAATTGCTTAAGTATAGTTTTGTGCTAGCCAGTGCTATAGCTCTAGCCAGTGGAATGAGAGAATTTTAGAACTGAAGTGAAACAGATTAGAAAAGAGGGTAAATAGGGATCCCTGGGTGGCGCAGCGGTTTGGCGCCTGCCTTTGGCCCAGGGCGTGATCCTGGAGGCCCGGGATCAAATCCCACGTCGGGCTCCCGGTGCATGGAGCCTGCTTCTCCCTCTGCCTGTGTCTCTGCCTCCTCTCTCTCTCTCTCTCTCTCTCTCTCTCTCTCTCTCGGTGTGACTATCATAGATAAATAAAAATTAAAAAAAAAGAAAAGAGGGTAAATAGCTTGTTCAGGTAGATACACCACATTTAGCCTCTTTGAAGTGTAGATCATTTTCCATTATTTGTCCTTAGTCAGCAGGACCATTTCTTTAAATTATTTCACACTTATTTATTGGATGCTTAGTTATATACGAGGTGCAGTGCTAGATAAAGCAATGTGAACTTAGTTTATTAAGCTTATTATATAAGCTTTTACTGAGCACCTATTTTACATAAAACTAGAATATAGAACAATTTGTTTGCAGAGGTTAAGAATAAAAATGCCAAAGTAGGATGGGTTGGGGATTATTCTTTAAAGATTGATGCAGAAAAGATAATTTTAATGAGTGGCATTTGGAAGTGTACTTGTTCTTAACACTGTGGACACATATGCCCCTGATAATGCATGGTTTATTCAGACTATGAATGCTGTGTTTTCAGTGGGAGGAGATGTCATGCATCCTGATATTCCCAATAACTTTTTGAGACTGCTGGCGGAAGGTTAGTAAATTACTGCATTCTATAAAATAGAGATCTAAAAATTAAATGTTTTTATTACAGAGTACTTAGAGAATTTAGTGGAGGTTAAAATGATGTATCAATTTCTTTGTAGGTTTTGATGATGAAACAGAAGACCAGCAATTAAGGCTTTATGCAGTTCAGTCTTATCTCACTTTACTAGATGTGGAAAATGTGTTCTACCCACAGAAATTTCTTCAAGTTATGAGTTGGGTGAGCAAAGTACATTAGATCATAAGTATTTATAACAGTGTCTTTTATACAACCAAATACTAACAATGTATTTCCTTCAGAAGTCATTCAGTTCTACTCTGCTCACTCTTTGAGCTATCAATTTTTCTCCCAGTGGCTAGTTTTTATCACTTTACTATCTACTTGTCTATTCATTTTCTTTGACATCCCACTTGTCTGATCCTTTAAGTATAGATAGTTGGTTTGCTATCTTTCTGTGTCTACAATACATTTGTTATTTTTTTTTTGTGAATCTGTGTTAGAATATGTGAACACTCGTGCATCTGTGTTATATTAGTTTTCTGTTGCTGTATGTTACCACAAACTTAGTGCTTAAAACAACAGAAATTTATTATCTCAGTTTCTGTGGGTCAGGAGTTGAGACATGGCTTAGGTAGGTACTCTGCTTAGGGACTCTCAGGGTTGCAGTCAGGATGTTGGCTAGGGTTGCTGTCACATCTGAATCTTGACTGGTGAAGAATCTACTTCCAAGCTCTTGTGGTGGTTGGAAGAAATCAGTTTCTTGCAGCTGTAGGACTGAGGGTTTGGAGTTCAAACTGTTGACTGTAGGCTACCTTCAGCTTCTAGAACTGCCTTTAATTTCTTACATTTGGGCCTCTCGACATGCTTCCTTACTTCATCAAAGCCAGGAAAGGAGATCATTCCTTTATAAGATGAAGGTCATATTTTATGTAATATAATCATAGGTAATTGCACACATACTGTCACCTCTGTGTATTCTTTGGTGTGCATATGGGTGAGTTTCTTTAGGGGGAGATTTGGTGAAGTACAACTACTGGGTCATAGGATATGCATATCTTAATATTTTATACTTTGGCCAAATGTTAGCATGTTAACTTAAATTTTACCCAGACTTTTATTTAAGATTTTTTTTTCTCAGGCTGCTGGGGTGGCTCAACATCACCTTTGAGAGTCTGCCTTTGGCTCAGGGCATGATCCCGGTCCAGGGATCGAGTCCCAAATTGGGTTCTCTGTTGAGGAGCCTGCTTCTCCCTCTGTCTATATCACTGCTTCTCTCTGTGTCTCTCAGGAATGAATAAATAAAATCCTAAATTAAAAAAAAATTTTTTTTCTCAACTACAGGAAAGTTGAGAGTCTAGGGTAATAAATATCTCCATCTTTTTCATCTAGAGTCCTAGTTAATATTTTTAACCACATTTGCTTTACTATATCCATATCTATCTCCATATCTATCTCTATCTATATGTGGATCTACCTCTATATAGGTGTTTTCTATCTGTATACAGATTGTTTTGCTGCGTCATTTACAGTTGAGTTGCAGACATCATGATATTCATAAAAAATTCAAGGAGAATCTTCTAAGAATGTCATTGTCCTCTCATAGAACCATTTTTACACCTAAGAAATGTAACATTAATTGATTAATATCACTTACTACACAGTCCATCATCACATTTATCTATTTGTCCAAAAAATGTCTCTTATGGCTGTTTTCCTACTATTCGCAATTCTGGATCCAGTCAGGATTCACAAATTGCATTTAGTTGTCTTTTTTAGCCTCTTTTGTTTTGTACTGATCCACAGTTTCTGTCTCATGACACTGATTTTTTGGATGAGTTCTCTTTACTTGTAGAATGTCTGACATGCTGAATTTGTCTCATTTTTTTCTGGTTTGATTAAACATTTTTAGCAGCAATACTACATCAACTATATATGTACTTTCCACTGCATCACCAGGACACGTAAAATATCAGTTTTTCCAGTTTTTGGTGATTTTAAGTTTCATTGTTTGGTTAAGATGATAACTTTTAGATTTCTCCATTGTAAAGGTACCCTTTCTCCTTGGTAATTTATAACTAATCTGTAAGGTGATTCTATGTGGTTCTGTATGAACATCTTTTCCTCAACTGTCTTTCACCAATGGTTTTAGTATTAGAAACCTTGCCTTAAATGGGTTATTGTATTTTTCCTCCATGTCACTCCATATATTTATAGCGCTTATATTTCTTTTTGCAACATACAGATACTGTCCAGGCTTTGTTAGATTTATACTTAAGCATTTCATTTGCTTTAGGGCAGTAGTAAAATAAGCTGTATTTTTATTTAGGTTCCCACATATTTGTTGCTAGTTTATTCAAATAAAATAGGTTTTTGTATTTTAATCTTGTCTTTGCAATCTTGCTTTGCAACCTTTTCAATCTTGTTGATCTCATTAATCTAAGATTTTTTTTTTGAGGTCTTGAGACCTTGTTAAGAATTTTTACATCTCTGTTCTTGAGATTTTTTTTCTACTCTGTTGGTTTGGTTTTGGTATCAAGTCAGGAATGTTCTTTCCTCTTCCATGTTCTGGAAAAATTATATAGAAGAGTGTTTAGTTTTTAAGTGTTTGGAAAATTTCCTGTTACTGATTTCTAGTTTGATGCCATTGTCGTCAGAGAAAATACTCTGAATTCAGTTCTCTTAAGTTTGTTGAGGTTTGTTTTGTGGCCTATGTCTTACTCTGTGTTCTGTGAGTGCTTGAAAAGAATGGGTATTCTGCTGTTGTTGGATGGTGTGTTCAATAAATGTTGATTAGATTCTTTTGGTGATGGTGCTGTGACACAGGTGTTAAGATTTTATATGGCCTCCACTGATACTGTGAAGGGGTCGTCTTGTATGGCAGAGTAGTGGTGAAAGTCCTGAGTCTCTGCTAGGCTTCTTCTGACACCACCCCAGGGGAAGAGGGGAGGGATCCCTCTTTATACGTGGATAGAGGAAGAGGCTTCATAAGTGGTCTTCGTGGACACTTCGTGGAGTGGATCTTGGTGGGGATGAAAGTCTTAGCTCCCCACTGGGTCTTCTCTGTCATCACCCTTGTGAGGGAATTGGGGTGCCTCTTACAGCTTGGTAGAGCTGGAAGTCTTGGTTCTCTGTTCTGCCTTTGCTGGTGTGGGTGGGTCTATAGTTTTTTTCTGTGTAGTGCTTAGCTGGAGTAGAAGGGTTATTATTGCCTAAAAGTTTTCTGGCCTCCTGGCTCTTTGGCTAGAAGACAGGCTTTTCTTGGGGCCGGTTTGTCTGTGCCCATTGGTGTTTCCAGGTTGCTGGTTTTCCAGTGTCCAGTCCAGGGTATATGAGGCAGCAGATTACCCACTACACTGTCCGGTGTTCTTAGCAGTCAGCCTTCTTTTCTCCATCTGTCAGTCTCTTTTTGTGTGTATTTTATATATAACATCAAGGGTTTTTAGGTGTACATATTGGGAAGAATAAGGGAAAATGCATCTACTCCATCTTTCTATTAATTCTTGAGCTGGGTTTAGATTACTGGGTTTTCTATAACTATCTTTCATCTTGGTAAACAATTTAAATATTATCTTGCTACTTTAAAAAATGATTTTACTTAGAGAGAGAGAGAAAGAACACATGCACGAGTGAGGGAGAGGTAGAAACAGGCTCTCCACCAGGGAGCCCCATACAGGCTTGATCCCAGGACCCTGGGACCATGACTGAAGCTGAAGGCAGCCGCTGAACCACCTGAGCCACCTGGGTGCCCCTTATCTTGCTACTTTAAGGATTGAATTTATTTAGTTCTATTTATTTTTCCTCCTCTTGTTACTAGCTGTAAATTTTTCCTTGCCTATCACCTCATCTCCTGTTTTCTTCCCTGCTGATGCCAGTATTATACCAAAGACGTGACAATACTCCATAAATAGCACTTAGGAAAGATCTCACACTCCATGAATTATCAGTTTATTAATGATTCAGATTATGTATCACCTAAATAAGTTAGATGTAAGAAAAAGGATATGTAACATAGATCAGTGTTCTTCTGTGGATCATCTATATCAGAATCAGCTTGATGCTTGTTCAAAATATGTATTACAGATCCCTACCACAGACATACTAACTCAGCATATCTCAGGGGAGAACCTAGAAATCTATATTTTTATGAAATACTTTAGGTGACTCTCATGCATACTAGTATGTGAGAACCACTGGTTTAAGTGCTTATTGCAAAATAAATATGCTTATAAAAAGCAATAACCAAACTTGAAGTTTAGAAGAAAGCAAACTTGTATGCTGTTTTATATATTGTTAATGATTAAGATGTGGAAAACTTTTTATATTGTGTTCCAATTCTTACATAATTTTGAACCTAAAATATATGATTTTTATCTTTAATAATTTCTACATCATGAGAGTATGGTCAATCTAGAGTAAATTGACTCTAGCAGTAGCTACTTTGTTTGGATTTCTGAGTACAATTTGCTGTAGCTTGATATTCCAATATGAATGTCTCTTTGTTTTACTCATAGGTGTTAGGGGAATATTCCTACCTCTTAGATAAAGACACACCAGAGGAAGTTCTAACCAAGCTCTACAAGTTACTTATGAATGACTCCGTTTCTTCAGAAACAAAAGCCTGGTTAATCGCTGCTGTTACCAAGCTGACGCCCCAAGCACACTCTTCTAACATAGTGGAGAGATTAATCCAGGAATTCACCATATCTTTGGATACTTGTATGAGACAGCATGCATTTGAATTGAAACACTTACGTGAGAATTTGGAACTTATGAAGAGTTTGCTTCCAGTTGATAAAAGCTGTGAAGACATGGTGGTAAGGCATCTGTATTTTAGCTGTGTAAAAATTGCATTGTCTATGAACAGAATAATTCATGCATTTATGATATAATATGGAATATATCAAAATATAGTTTCCATGACATTCAAGATGAAGGTTGGAGTTTTCCTTCAGGTCAGTAGTGATCCTAAGTAGGAATTGAGGAGTGTCTCTTCTGGAGGACTGTAGCGAAGGCATTTATATCCAATGACCATCTCTTTTAACATTTGGTAATTCAAGAATTAAAAAAATTTGGGATCCCTGGGTGGCGCAGCGGTTTGGCGCCTGCCTTTGGCCCAGGGCACGATCCTGGAGACCCAGGATCGAATCCCATATCGGGCTCCCGGTGCATGGAGCCTGCTTCTCCCTCTGCCTGTGTCTCTGCCTCTCTCTCTCTTTCTGTGACTATCATAAAATAAAAATTTAAAAAAAAAAAGAATTAAAAAATTTAATTTCCTTTGAACTGCTTTAATATGTCATTTAATTATTACTGTGTTTTCTTTGAGAATGTAAAAAATAGTTCTCTTTTGCATTTTGTACACCTGGTATCTAACATCTTTCCCAGAGAGTGTGGAAGCACTGATAGCCCTCTTAGAAATGAAGTTCTGTTTTTCAATTACAAATTATTTTTAGGGCATATGGATTAAAATTATTATGTGATTTTATAGTCTACTCTCTTTAGGGTGAATTTTTTAATTTTCTAATTTTTGCTTCACTTTAATACAGGTGGATGCTTCTTTATCTTTTCTGGATGGTTTTGTGGCTGAAGAACTTAGTCAGGGGCAGCACCTTACAAACCTCATCACCAACGGCAGGAGGAAAAGCTTTCTCAGGAAAAAGGTAATTTTTCTTGGGTCTGGAACAAGCTAAATTGTAGGGAGATCATTTTTAATGCAATTGTTATTACAGTTACATAATATAAATAATTGAGGATGTTTCCTTTTATCATCCCTCCTTAAATCCTTAAAGTACTTGTGACTTATTTATCCTGATTAGGTCTTTGGATAACTAGAAAAAAAGAAGTTAGCCCGGAGGTATTCCCAAAGTCATTGGGTCCATATACATAAGTGCCTAAGATAGCCATTCTGGAATTTTGAAAGAATTCCAGAAGTGGAATTATCATATTGGGTTACTGTGCTCGACAGAGGGCTGATGATACTCATGTGAGCATCTCTAGAAAAGTTTGGGGGGGAAATGTGGTTATTGTAGACTAGTGAGTTTCATTTTCATTCTGAGCATGCTTATATAAACTGTATTAGAATGCTTCCTCCAACAAAATATCTGATCAATGAAGTTAGAAACTAAGAAAAGAAAGAATAACTTTACATTTCAGAAATGTAGCCTGCCAGGGAAAGGTGCCTGTTGTGATTTTGGCAAAGAGGAAATCATTGAGATGTTTGGATGGTGGATGGGAAATAAGTATATGAATAAAGAGAGACCATTGAATATTTTAGTTCAGAATGGTGCTACTGAGAAGTTCTACACTGAAAGCTCTTTTTCTCCCCATTCATCATCTAATGATTTTGTTGAGTACTTTCCTAGCTCTGTGGTAGGCATATGAGTATAACTAAATGGTTGATCTAAAAATGACACTGAAAAAGTAAAGTTGCAATTCAGCCATCTGCTTCCTTTACCTGACTTTTCTGCATACTGTTATTTTCCTCTGTTTCCCACATGCACATGAACTCTGATATATCTAGTAAACTTTTAAAAAATCTTTAGCCCTTCCAATCATTCACCTCTGTAAAGATCTTGTGAAAATTTCACGGAATAATGAAAATAATGTCATTTGAAGTTCATTCTCAGCCTCGAGCCTTTCCAGGCCTTCCTTAGATGACAATGTTTAATACTGTTGTCTCAGGTTTGGAATTTTATCTGACTCTTCTCCAGATGCTGTCCTCTTCCATGCCTAGTTTTTTTTTTCTCTTCACTATTAAAGTCTACCTCTGATTTTGACTTCTTTCTGCTCCAGTTCCCGGAAGTCCTACTGGTGAGGCATCAAAGCAACTCTTAATCATTCCAAAAATCACCATCTGCCCTTTCCAACAAGATCTTAGAAAGTCTCTTTGGCAGGGTAGGAGGATGTCTTACTTGGACACATAATCTCAGCCCAAAGGCTTCCAATATGTGCTCTTCCAATATGTTTCAGGGCTCTTTTTATTTTTACTGACAAATCTGTCATTACAGCAATCCCCTATTGGTCTTTTATATTAAACTCTCACTGTGCACAAAAAAAAAAAAAAAAGAATTCTTTCTGCTCTTTGCTTAAACTCTATCTTTACTTGATATTTGCCTTAAACTTTGTTTTTGCTTGTACATAGGAAACATTTCTTGAGTTCTTCACTGCTACTTTGTTATCCAAAGGCTGGATAACTGTCACAGATGTTATTAAAGAGGTCAAAATAGGATAGAAAATTAAATTACATGACTGAGAAGCTTAAAATGAGAGGATTTTCTAGTTGAAAAGGACCTTGGAAGGATTTAGGGAAATAGTTTCCAAACATGATTATGCATCACAGTCCACAAAGAAAGTCTTTAAAAATGATACAGATTTTTGAGCCCTACTCCTCTATCTTTTGTATCTGAATCTCTGAAAGCTTGGCTGTATATGGGAGATTCTACAAAGTCAATTGATCCTGGTTATCAAATCAGCATTTGGAAACTGCTCATATAGCCTGAACCCTTCACTTTACAAAGAAATTAAGGTCTAGTTCATGCACCCAGTTAATACTCAATGTACATCGAGAACTGAATTCTTCTGATTTTTAATTAGCCTATTATTTTTTCTACATGTTTATTTCTCTTATGTATCATTCATTTAGATAAATAATTAATTTATTCTATCCTAAACTGATTTATTTAGTTGTCTTTGGATTAGATGCTGTCTCTTTTGGAGGAGACAGTATAATATAATGCTTGAGAGTAGAGCTCTAGAACCAGAGTATCTGACTTATCTTGCTCTATCATTTTTCCTATTTTTGTGATCTTTGGTAAGTTCATGGCAAACTCTGCCCCAGTTTCTGTATTTGCAAAATGAAGATAATAATTATAGAAGTTCACATTATATTTCATATAAAATATATATAAATAAAAAATATTTTATATTTTTTATGATTTAAAACGGTCCATTGTATTATGATCCAGATTGTCCAAAAAGGTAAATATGCCAGTTAGGATTAAGTATAGCTACACAGCATATTAGAAAACAAATTAACAAAATGTGGCCTTATACAAGGCAGAAGATTATTGCTTCTTCTTGTTAAAAAAAATTCCAGAAGTAGGCAGCCTAGGATTGATGATGGCTTCATGAATGTAAAGGAGAAAGGGAGAGAAAAAAGATGTTTTTTCTTGTAGGCAGATTCCTCCCAGAAGTTGTGCACAGAATGTGTACATAATTTCATTGGCCAGAAGTCAAGCATATGGCAGAAGTGTTCTGGAAATGTCATTTCTTTTCTGGATGGACATGTACCTGACTAAGATTGAGGGTTCTATTACTTAGAAAGGAGAGTGGATATTGGCATCAGTTCTACCACAAGGACAATATGAATTTTTATAGCTCTTGATTGAATTCATTTGAGTATACAGATTCAAAGGAATCTGAACCTGAGTAAACCTTGTTCTTTTTAGTAAAGGGAGATTTCACATTGAGGGCTCCATTAGTCCATTCAGTATAGGAATGTGCCTAAGAACATTTTGTTAAGCAAAAACAGGATCATCCCTTCATTCATAGCTCATTAAACATTTTTGTCTGGGGACAGCAGCTATTCAGTAGACCTGATTTATCAGTTTTCTTTCCTAATTGGATCCTACTTTAGCTTCTAAGGGAGGTGAAAAGGTAAAAGTAAAGTACTGTTTGCAGACTATAGTAGACATTCAATAAATCATAGCTACTTTATTATTACTGCTATAATTATTTGATTAGATAATCTCCAGTGTCCCTTCCAGCTTAAAAATTGTTATTGGAAGAGTGTCTCACTAACTCAGTTGGTGAAGCATGTGATTCTTGATCTTGGGGTTGTATGTTTGAGCCTCATGTTCGGTGTAGATGTTACTTAAAAAAACAAAATAAAAAAATAGAAATTGTCATTGGATTCTTTTTTTTTTTCTTTAAAGATTTTATTTGTTTATTTGAGAGAGATAGCATGAATAGGGAGAGGGGCAGAGGGAGAAGCAACAGCCTGCTGAGAAGGGAGCCCAGTGTGGGGTTGGGATTCCAGGACTCTAGAATCATGACCTGAGAAAGGCAGATGCATAACTCAGCCACCTGGGTGCCCCCCTTTCATTGGATTCTAATCTTCAGTTATTTTATTTCAGGAGTGAATGATAACTGATAATTTCTTTTTCCCCCTAACTTTTGCTTTGTTTTAAATATGAACTTCTGTTATTGTTTTAAAATTCTAGTTCTCAATTTTGAACCATATGGACTCTCCTTTTCTTCATCTGGCTTCACTGGACGACAGTCTCCTGCTGGCATTTCCCTTGGTTCAGATATATCTGGGAATAGTGCAGAGACTGGACTGAAGGAGTAAGTTCTTTTCTTATTAAAATCGAAAACATAGGAGTATTTAAATGTCTTTAAATGTAGGAGGTTTCCTGAGAGCTAAATTCTGCATGGGCTGTTGTTTCAGTTGTTTTCTGCTTATTGCTTTCAAGGTGTACAGGAGAACTTTTAAGAGAGTTTGCTTATTTTCAAGATAGCATAATGTCTATAGGCTTCTAACACATAATGATGGTGTATATGTTATTACTGTGTATTGTGTGTATATGTGTCTATGTATACATGTTTGTTTAATACACGTATATTTGTACATATATATGTATACACATATGTATACATATACATTTTTTAAAGATGTGAGAACTTTTATACACAGGTGAATATTCAGCATATCATTCTACATTCCTTATAATCTTACAGCCATTTCATTGAAAGATTGACAGAGATGAACATAAAATAAGATGACTGACTTCATTTAAGTAAGCTGGATACTTTCTTCAAAATGTTTTCAGAGCTTCTTTCCTGCCACCATGAAAATTGGTGATACATTTATCTAAACGTCTTATGTGGAGCTAAATCTTCAACCATTTTAGGTAGATTTTGATTTTGGAAATATAAATTTTAGAAACATGATTAAGTTAAAAAGTGAGATAATATTTATACAGTGCCTCATAAAATCCAATGCATAGTAAGTGATTGATACATTGTAGCTGCTAATATTAATACTGATTGTCATTGCCATCATTATCAATATCCAATAGCTCAGTTAACCAAATGAAATTAGTGATCAATCCGGATAACTTTGGTCAGTATATTGATGTGACATAAAATAATGAAAATGGTGCTTTGTGAAGGAGCTTCAAAAAGAGTTAAAACATTTTTAAAAATTTTATTTTTATTCCAGTGTAGTTAACATGCAGTGTTATACTAGTTTCCGGTATACCATATAGTGATTCAACAGTTCCACATATTACTCAGTGCTTATTAAAAAATGTTTTGAGTAATGGCAGCTTTGTTGGAATAAATGTAATAAAATCTCAAAGGTGACAGCTTTGAAAGATGATATTTGAATTTTGAGTTCTCATATGTTCATTATAGAGTCAGTCACCTTATTTTATTAATGTTCATCTTTGCATTTGTCAGTCTTCCGGCATGATGGTTGGAAGAAGTATTTATCAGAAGAATGACTCATAGATTATGAGGAATATAGGATGATATGCTGAATGAAATTCTTTCTTAGCTTCTTTTTCCTGCTCTGTTGACATTCTTTTCTTTCCTAGACATTTAATTTTGATATTCCAAGTATGGGGGACAGATGATTTGTGAGCATTTGATGGTAGAGGTGGTAGCAATTATGTGCCCCAATCAGAACACCAGGACAAGGGAAAGAGGGGACAGGAAGCCTCTAAACCCAGGGAGGAAACTTAGTCTCTTTTACAGGCACAACAGGTGAGAGCATCTGTTTGTTTAGTACTGAACTAAGATCTGGAGGACTTGACAATCTTTGTAAATCCTATACATACACATGTACCATACTCTCAGAGAAATGACATTTGGCTGAGTTGCTAAAGAATTATACATACGCTGTGTTACCATGAAGTGGAACATGAGGGATGAATTTGAAATTCCTTTCCAAAGAGGACCACAGCTCACACATCATTTCAGATTAAGCACCTGTGTTGTAAGTAACAAGGCAACTCAGCTTTAGAGAGGAGACAGTCGCTCTTCTGCAATCTCTGGCAAGCTGAGAATGAAGTAGTAGCAAGCTCAATTTAGAATTTCTTACCTTAGGCCCTATTTGGGGGCTATCTTAAAAGGGAATTCCTAGAGCTGAGTTAAAGTGTATCCCTAATCTTTTGAAGGTTAGCTTGGCTAGAATTTACATCTGTGTTTGAGTGATCTGTTTAAAAACAATGCAAAGGTATACCACGTAAAACCACGAATTACATTATTGTTGTAAAAATCCAGGCAAAGATGACTCATGTTTAAAAAAAATTCTTTTACAGAAAAAAAATTCTTTTAGTATGTTTCATATCATAAAGAAGCATATTTTGTGCCCTTATTTTTCCTGTTTTTTAGATGGCTGATATGTAATCCACGACAGAGAAAAGTTTTTTTTTTTTAAAGATTTATTTATTCATGAGAGACAGAGAGAGAGAGAGGCAGAGACACACAGGCAGAGGGAGAAGCAGGCTCCGTGCAGGGAGCCCAATGCGCGACTTGATCCTGGATCTCAGGATCACGCCTTGGGCCAAAGGCAGACACTCAACCGCTGAGCCACCCAGGTGTCCCCACGACATAGAAAATTTATGTTGATAATAGGCATGTATGCAGATGAAATATGCCAGAAAAATCTTTAAAGTAGCTTGAGGCTCCTTTTAGGTTTATTTTTCCTCTCCTTTCCTATCTTGTCTCTTGTTGTGAATTGGATTCCCTGGGGTGTGCATTCCATGATGGATTTAGCATCAGAATATTGAGTGGCACAACAGCCTGGGTGGCTCAGCAGTTTAGCGTGGCTCAGTAGTTTAGTGCTGCCTTCAGCCCAGGGCCTGATCCTGGAGACCCGGGATCAAGTCCCACGTCAGGCTCCTGGCATGGAGCCTGCTTCTCCCTCTGCCTCTCTCTTTCTCTGTGTCTCTCATGAATAAATAAATAAAATCTTTAAAAAAAAAAAAGAATATTGAGTGATCTTGTGATCACCACCTGTGGAAGGAAGGAGAAACAAGCAGGTGTGGGCAGAGGAAGAAGTTAAGATGCAATGCAGTTTAACAGCAGCCTCTGCTGACCCCATGGGGAGCTCAGAAGTTAGAGTGGCCCTTCAGAGTTGTCCTGGGTTAGTCCCACATATGTGGCCAGGACTCCATACTTCTGTTCAACAGCCCACTAGTGTGGGCTGCCCAGGAGGGGATGGTCTCAGGCGAGGTGTCCCTCTGCAGCTGAGGCTGTCCCAGAGAGGGCTGTACTCCCAACGAAGAGGGCAACATGTCCTTTATTGACGAATGATCTGGATAGGGCATCCCAGTGTTCATCACACTTAACCTTTTTGTTAAACTGATATTTAAATTATTAGTAAAACTTGGAGAGTTGACCTTTTTTCTTCTTAAAGAATGTGTTTTGATAAACAGGGTTACAGAAATACTGTGGGCATTTATGAATCCCTTTGAGTTGCTGCTGTTGAGCATCCTAGAGATGCCTGTCTTGGGGCTCAGTCTCATGACCTGGAGATCACAACCTGAGCCAAAATCAAGAGTTAAAGACACTTAACTGACTGAGCCACCCAGGTACCCCTGAAAGCTGTTTTAAGAGGCCATGGCAATGATGTGTTTTTAAAAATGCCTCAAGAAAGTTACTCTTCAGGAGTTATTAAGTTGACTTAATTGTATTATTAATCTCCTTAGGACAAATAGCTTGAAGCTGGAAGGTATAAAGAAATTGTGGGGGAAAGAGGGCTATCTTCCTAAGAAGGAAGGTAAAACTGGGGATGAAACTGAAGCTCTGCCTGTTCCTCAAGAGAGCATAATAATGGAGAACGTAGACCAAACTATAACAAAAAAGGATCAGTGTCAAGTCCTTACCCAATCTAAAGAGGAGAAAGAAAAGCAGCTGCTGGCATCATCGTTATTTGTTGGGCTAGGATCAGAAAGTACAATCAATTTGGTAAGTAGTCTGTTTTATTCTTCTGAGAATCTGTGTCCCTGCCTTGTACAAAAAAACTGGCTCTATACAAGTTCTTGGCTGTCACCTTACACGCAGTGGGAAATGGCTTCCCCAGCTCCAAAGCCACCAATGACACACTTTATATATTCCTGAAAGAGAAATTCTGATTGGTTTAGCTTGAGTCAGGTATTTTCTGTAGTCCATTCAGCTGGAGCAAGGGTCAGGGTCCAAATAAAGTTACAGATATGACCACTGGTATTAATCCCATGGATGGATAGGACAGTTCTCAGTGGGAAGGGGGCTTAATGGAAGTATTGGCATTAATAATAGTTCAACAATTTTGATATGTCTATGGAAAAAGTAGTTCTAAAATGGTATTTTTAATAGTAAGAAATAGATATCTAACAGTAGGAGAATGGGTATATAATTATGTTCGCTCAGAATATTACTCAGCCATTAATTATGATAAATCTTGCATTTATTTAAAATAAAACATACATGTGATATATTAAGCAAAAAGGCAGAATAGAAAGTTTTATTTATACTTTGTTCATAACTGTTAAGAAGATAAAAGTTATTGGGGATCCCTGGGTGGCTCAGCGGTTTGGCGCGCCTGCCTTTGGCCCAGGGCGCGATCCTGGAGTCCCGGGATCAAGTCCCGCGTTGGGCTCCCGGCATGGAGCCTGCTTCTCCCTCTGCCTGTGTCTCTGCCTCTCTCTCTCTCTATGTCTATCATAAATAAATAAAAATAAATCTTTAAAAAAAGAAAAGAAGATAAAAGTTATTGAGACAAAGAATTATGCAAAAATGAAAACTACACTCAGGCATTATGATTATGATTTTCAAAACTTTTTATGCTGATATATTATTATTATAATTTTTTATTAAAGAATGAAAAATTGGAGTAAAGGACAGGTGCTATTTTGAGCATCTGAAAATTCCATGTAATTTTCCATCTGGTGGACTGATGGACCTACCTGGTACAAAATTGTGATTAGAGCTCCATTTTCTTCAGGTTATTTTTTTTTTTTTAAGATTTTATTTGTTTACTCATGAGAGACACAGGGAGAGAGAGAGGTAGAGATACAGGCAGAGGGAGAAGCAGGCTCCATGCAGGGAGCACGACGTGGGACTCGATCCCGGATCTCCAGGATCATGCCCTGGACTGAAGGCAGTGGTAAACCACTGAGCCACCCGGGCTGCCCAATTTTCTTCAGTTTTAGATCATTCCAGTTCTTCCATCTTCTTTCTCCGTTGGTGGAATTTCCCCTCCATTCCTATGCTTTTTGCCTGTTTTCTGTCTCTTTTCTGGACCTCATTTCTATCAGCCTTGATATTCCCTCCTAAGGAAAAAAAAAATCAATTTCAAACTATTAATAAGTAATGGATCTTAATGCTGTCTCAGCATTTGCATTTCAGCAGCTAGGTGACTTACTTTGGGTTTTTAAGATGTTCCAGCTGGCTGCGGTAAGGGTACCTGTGAATGCCCTAGACCCGTGGGGTGAGTTCTTAAAGATCAGCATGCACCCAGGCTACGGAGCCCTGATTTGTGAATCCCCTGGCTGCTGTTGAAGGATTCCTGCCCTCTCGACAAAGTGCAGAGCTTTCAGTTAAACAGTCTTTCTCAAGCGAGCATTCAGTGTGACAAATTAATTATCGGGCTTTTTTTTTTTCTTTTTTTGGTGGTGGGCTTGATACCAGAAATATAATTAGGTTTTTTTTCCACTTAAGGTATAGTAGGTCCTTTATGGGTTAATTTTTTTACTTAATTCACTCTAAGGATCAAGGCTTGCTTTTTTTTTTTTATTCCCCTCATCCTTGCCCTTTATTTTATCTTTTTTTTTTTTTTCAGTTTTTATTTAAATTCTAGTTAACCTACAGTGTAATATTAGTTTCAGGTGTAGAATTTAGTGATTTAATACTTAATACAACACCTGGTGCTCATCACTACAAGTGTATTTCTTAATCCCCATCATCTATTTAACCCATCACCCCATGTCTCTCCCCTCTTGTAACCTTCAGTTTGTTCTCTATAGTTAAGAGTCTGTTTCTTAGTTTTCCTTTCTCTTTTACCTTCATTTTTAAAAGTTATTTTCTCTGAGGTCTAGGTTGACTATTTCTTTTCTTTATTTAACAAAGATGTCATTCTAGTGTCTTATGGCTTGTGTAGCTTCTCATTAACAGCAGATTAGACAGTACAGAAGAAAAAAAATTAAACTTGAAGACGAAGTATCAAAAATACCCAAAATGAAACACAGAAAAGAGAAAACAAAAAGCAAATGAAAAAACTCAGAGCATCAGAGACCTGAGGAACAATACTGAACAGTCTAATATAGGTCTAATTCGAGTCCCATGGCTGCTTGAAAATGGAAGTCCTTCACCCACCCCCTTGTTTTCGCTTTTGTGCTAATAGAATTTTAGTTCTTGTTTGAGGACTTCTGAATTGAAAGATAGGAGACAAATTGACTGCCAAGAGTTGGAAGAGGTATTGGGACTTGAGGGAGTAAGAGGGGATGGAAGAAGAACTAGAATGATGTGAATGGTGGCCACACTGCCCCAGGGAGGATGGAAATGTGGATTTAGAGTAGTGCCTGCTACGCTGATTTTAGATAGAACTTTGGAAGGCAAGGGAGAACTGTAAGTAAGCATCACTCTACTTTTCTTACATAGATTTATAGACCATTCCCTAGGAGTGTTGGTTCAGGGATGGCAAATTTGCCATTCTCATTTCCTGAGTCAATAGGAAACATCACTAGTCACTTACAGAGTTCTTGCCTGCTATGTGTGTGTCAGCCACTGCCAGTTGGTTCTTGAGGTAAAACCAGGTTTTCTTCTCTGTTCATTGACTTGTGTGCCATAAAATCATGGTTACCATAGACTACCAAACCAGAGTTTGAACCATCCTGTATTTGAGGTTATCTTCTCTTCTACAGGGCAGATCTGGAAACTCAAAACATGACTAGGTTTCTCACTGTTTTTATTTTATTTTAAAAATTTTACTGTTTTTTAAATTTTTTTAGAGAGTACATGTGTGAGCAGTTGGGAGGGGACAGAGAGAGAGAGGGAGAGAATCTCAAGCAGACTCCATGCTCAGCACAGAGCTAATGCAGGGCTCAATCTCATGACCCCGAGATTATGATCCAAGCCAAAATCAAGAATTGGACACCCAATCAACTGAGCCACTGAGGCATCCCTCACTGTTTTTAATTTGTGCAATTCTACACTCTACAAGTTTTTAGAATTGTTCACAAATGACTTTTTGACTTTCTTTTTTTGATTTTATGTGTTTTTAATGAGAACTAAGATTTAGCTGATAGTTCAAAGTGAGGTAGCTGTCAGAATTTTAGGGCTTAACATTTTATTCATCTCTGATGATTTTGTTAACCTATGCTTTATAGATAGAATTTTAACAAGTTAGTAAATTACTCATTTGAAATTATAGAAAAATGTTTAAAACTCATGACTGGTAGAATGGATTTTTAAATATTATGTTTTATTTTTGCAGCTAGGAAAAGCAGATACTGTATCTCACAAATTCAGAAGGAAATCAAAAGTCAAGGAAACCAAAAGTGGAGAAACAACCAGTGCTCATAATATCACCTGTTCTTACTTTAGTTCTTCGTCAAATGCAACTTATGAAGATGATTATTATTTGGATACTTTGCAGGATAGAGAAGACAAAGAATTAAATAAATTTTCTCTCAATTCTGAACTTTTGGATTCTGAGTCACTCACAGAACTACCTTCAGTTGAGAAACTCTCCAATTGCAAGCTGTCTTCACCATCTTTGTTTACAGATAACAACACAGAAGGTTTTCACCCTTCTCAGCCCACTGCACCCTCAGTTGCTAATGAAACCTCTTTAGCTTCTTCTTTACTGGAAGAAACTTCAGAGCACATGCATTCAGATCTTGTGGAGGTCTGTCATAATGAAACCATATCAATGTCTTCTTACAAAATTTGGAAAGATGATTGTTTATTGATGGTATGGTCAGTTTCTAGTAAGAGTGGTTTGGAATTGAAAAGTGCTAACTTAGAAATTGCTCCAGCAGAATATTTCAAGGTAAGGTAATGAATGGTTCCTTATTTCTGCGTTAAATGGACAATGCTTACTTAGTATTTCTGCTGTTGGCTCTTCTGATGGTTTTAAATTTCATCCACATCCTTTTCTCTTTAGCAAAAAAATCCCCCAAAGTGTGACAGGATTTTTTAATTATTTTTGAGTAGGGGTGAATTATGCAAAAGAGATAAAACATCATAAAGATTTTCCAACTGTACTGGGGAAGGCCATAAATACAAAGCGAGTATTGATAGGGCATAGTAGTTAAGAAGGGGAGGCTCTTGACTCAGATTGCTTGGCTTTGAATCTTGCTTCTGCTACTTATTAGCTGTGGTACATGGTCAGGTTATGTAACTGCTTTGTGGCTTTGAGTTTCTTCACATTTAAAATGAAGATATTAATAGTGTCTGCCTGTTACTGTAAGGAGAAAATGAGTTAATATCTGTAAAATGCTTATAGCAGTACCTGGCACATGGTGTTACTGTGTTATTATTTTCAGTGTATATTTTGTGATTTTTTTTGCACTCTTTAAATGTCTCATTCATTCTTGTTATAAATACCGAGACAAAGTTCTCAGTTTAACAAAGCATAACATCAAGGAATAAGAATATTAAAGAATAAATGTGTATACTGTCTACTGCCTTTTTCTTTCACTGATTTATTTTTCTGTACTGAGTGCTTGGGCGTCAATTTTATTTCCTCCCTAGCTCTAAGAGATTGCCATTGTGATTTCTGGAAATATGTTTAATTATATTATGGTATGGATATGATGTCCTTGGTGGAATTATAATGAGATTTGACCAGTAGGTCAGTTATTTCACAAGACTGACCCAATTTCTCCTATGAGCTACAATGTGTTGAATGGGATATTACCTGAGCCACTGGCCAGGGCAGAAGTTCCTGACTCTAGATGGGCATTAGGATCACCAGTGGAACTTAATAAAATAAAATAAAATCCAATCTAGTTGCTTGGGCAACTCAACCCCCATAGCCTGAGTAAGAATGTAGATTGAGAAGGGAAGACACCTGTGTGTGTGTGTGTGTGTGTTTTAACTCTCCTCACTTTAAACATATGGTGCTAGCCAGAGTTGAGAACCAAAAGATTCAAGCTTAATAATTTTTTTACTATTGTTGCTAAATTTTACAGATTTTCACTGCAATTTGTTACACAACCTTTACCTGTATTCTATTTCTTAATTACCTGTGTTAGTGAATTTTTCTCAAGTGAAGTTGTCATTTTCATAATGTGGTTTGTTTTTAATGTCTCACAAAAGTGTGTTATTCAGACTTCAGTGAAATAGAAAATTGGTATTCATATGATAGTCTGTATTGATCCCTTCTTCAGTACTTTTATTACTTTTATTTACAGATCACTGAGCAACCTGGATGCTGCTTGCCTGTAATAGAAGCAGAAAGCATCAAAACCTTTCAATATAATGTGCAGATGGAGAAACCTTTTACAGACGGGAATCTTACTGGTTTTATAAATTATCAAATGATGGATACTCATTCTGATCAGCTTGAATTTTCTGTAAACTTATCGCTATTAGATTTCATTAGGTAAATATTTTCTGGAATATTAATTCAAGATATTCATTCAGCAAATATTTATTAGGCCTTTTCTCTGGACAGAAACATTGTGGTAGGTGCTAGAGAATATAATTCAAAACTAGATACAGTCCCTTCCTTTAGGGAGTGTTCAGTCTTAGAGCAGAGAACACATCACATGAATGCATATATAGTCTTGAATTGTGCTGTGAAGAGAAAGTAAATGGCACGATGAGCAATTATAATATGGGACTTGATTTAGGTTGAGGTTGATTAGTAATCCTGGAAAACCTCTAAAAGAACGTAATACGGAACGAATGTTTAATCTGAAATAACTTTAGAGAATCTGCCTGGCTTTTTAAAAAAGCTTTTAAAGCTTCTCTCATTTATATTTCATATATTTGATTAACTCATAAAATCTGTTTATTAAGCTTCCGAGATCTGTAAGCAAATTACTCAGGGTTATTAAACTTCTATTAGAGATATAATAAGTATTTAGCATCATACTAGGCACTCTGCAGTGTTACCAAATAATTGAAGACAGCTTCTTCACTCTTCCCTCATTTAGTTTTATGGTAATATTGTACTGTATTCAGACATTTTTTAGAATGAAAGCCACGTGAACCAAGAGTGCAGAATACGCATGAGTATCTGTAAAGTTCTTTAACCTTCACACATTCACTTGTGTTACACTGCTGTAATTTTTGCCTACTCTTTAAAATCTTTTAGTAAGAACATGTTTCTCTCTCTGTCAAAGAGTGTTTCTGCCTTTGGTGCTGAATAACGTAGAATCCAGCCTTCTAAGAACTAACATTCTCTGACTGTAGGGGTGTATCCTGTGGTGAGCATTAGTAACCTGATCAAGCACAATACATATGATAAACAGGTCTTCTGTGTGTATTAATAAAATCCTGTGTATCTTGAAAAAATATTTTTCCTAATTAAAGAATAAATGTATAATTATTATAAAAATTCAGATGGTATAGAAAAATATAAGTAGAATATAAAAGTTCCCTATAATTCTACCCCCACCCTAGAGACCCAGCGTTAACTATTTGATCTTAAGTGTCATGAGACATTTAAAAAATATATTTGTTAAAATCCTTTCCACGGTTTAATTTACATAAGGTGCTAGATCTTTGTATTCATACTCTGTACATGATGTAGATAGTGTCAAATCCAAAGTATATGTGAAAGAAAGTTTTATATTTGAATGATTCATGAAATCACTTTGTAAAATTTTACTGAAATGACTAATACTCAGATAAAGAGAGAACTGAGTGATTTATTGAAAAGACATTTACACCTTAATAACATCTTTTTTTCAGTATTTTCATCAGTTTGGAGTATGATGGTAAGCATTCTTAACATAGTTTAAAAACATAAATTTTGTGGGACCCAGATTTACAATGATTGTTTTATTCTCATGAGTCATTTGAAATGTATTTATTTGTTTGTTTAGAATTAATTTCATTCTTTTGGACATAAATCTAATTTTAAAAATTATTTTCAGACCGTTAAAAATCTCAACTGAAAACTTTGGCAAGCTCTGGTTATCCTTCGCAAATGATGTGAAGCAAAATGTAAAAGTGTCAGAAGCTCAAGCTGCTCTGTCTTCTGCCCTAAAGACCCTGCAACAGAAACTAAGACTTCATGTTGTTGAAATTATAGGTTCGTAGAGTTACGTAAAGACAATCTTGTGTAATAGGGGCTTTCTCACAGAGCACAAATCAACTTTTACGAGTATCAAATTTCTTAGAGCTGTATTTCCTGTTATGAGTATCTTTCAAATGAGTGTGTTGTTCAAACTTTAAGTATTTTTTTTGTGTGGTAAAACAAAACAAAATTTTCCATTTTAACCAATTTTAACTGTACAGTTCATTGACATTAATTACATTCATATTGTTGTACAACTGTTGCCACCATCACTTCCAGAACTTTTCCTCTTCCTTAACTAAAATCCTGTGCCCTTTAAACACTAACTTATCATTCCCTCTCTAGCTCTTAGTAACACCATTCTTGCTTCTGTCTCTATGAATTCAACTACTCTAGGTGTCTCATATAAGGGGAATTATGCAATATTTGTCCTTTTGTGACTGGCTTATTTCACTTAGCGTGATGTCTTCAACATTCATTCATGTACCATGTGTCAAGATATCTTTCCTTTTTAAGCCTGAATACTATTCATTATATGAATATACCACAGTTTGTTTATCCATTCATGTGTTGAAGGACACTTGGGTTGCTTCTGCCTTTTGGCTACTAGGAATAATGCTGTTGTGAGTGTGAGTGTACAGATATTTGGTTTCAAGTCCCTGCTTTCAGTTCTTTTGGTTATATAATTCTATATTAATTTTTAAAGAAACTACCATATGATTTTCCATAGCATTTGCACCATTTACATTCCCACCAGCAGTGCACAGAGGTTCCCAATTTTCCACATCCTCACCAACGGTGGTTATATATACATGAAAGTATGTGTGTATGTGTATACATGTGTGTGTGTGTATGTATATGATATATATATATCATATATATATATATATATATATATATATATATATATGAGTAGTTCCTTACATTTCCTTACTGATCAGTGATGTCAAATATCTTTTCATGTGCCTATTGGCCATTTGTATATCTTCTTTGGAGAAGTGTCTATTTTAGTTATTTTGTCTTAGGAATTTTTAATTTTTGTTTTGTTGTAGGCAACGAAGGGCTTTTGGCCTGTCAACTGCTCCCATCCATCCCCTGCTTGCTGCACTTTCGAGTTCATGGTGATGTATTGGCCCTGTGGTTCAGATCCTCCTGCTCTTCTCTTCCTGACTATTTACTGTATCAGTGTCAAAAGGTGATGGAGGGATCCTAGCAGAAGCTCTGTTGATATTTTACTCCATCAGAATAAATGGTTTACATAGATAAACTTATTTACCAAAGTAAAAAGAACTCTTGGTACTTCTAATGAAAATGGGGATTATTATAAGCTGTGGTTCTGTGTGTTTTCTTTATGAGTCCTGATCAAGAAAGGTCCCCAAGAAACTGTATCCTTAATCTTTTACTCAGGATTGTACAGTATGTTTGGGTCCCAAAAAAGTGACCTAATGTTATAAACTGTTAATGATTTATATGTCACTTAGTGTAGAGGGACTGAAAATATTTATTTTGTTATAAATAATTTTATAGCAAATTTACTGTAGTGTTAGTTGATTTGTAGTAAAACCAAGTCTCTGTTCTCCACATTAATGGAAGGGAGATGGACATGGCTTTGATAATCCCAAACCTAATTTGTATTTGGTTTTGGAATGCAGTATTAGCTTTTTGATAGGCAAGTCATTAATTTCAATTATGTTTTGCTTAGATTGGTATTGAACTAAGTTGGCACAGTACACACTAACAATTCAGGAGATCCATGAGCATGCTGGATATTGGGGGGATTTAATCTGTGATATAGTTTTTATTGTGGATAACTTGTTACACATAATTGCAGATAATTTGGCTACAGAATTTGTTTTCCGCTTGCATTTATTTTTAAAATTTAAAGTGAATCACTGTATTCTTATTTTAGAAACCCAGAACCATTTACAAAATATTGTCATATGGAAACACAACCCATAAGAACACACAGTACTAAAGCAAATAGATACAAAAGAACTTTTTAGTTATGGTGAATATCTTAGTTATCAGTTAGGTCCAGTTAGGTTTTGTGAGTATAAATGGCAAAACCATCTTTCCTGGCTTTTGAATCCACTAGTACTGAGTGGGTACAACCAAAACAGTGACTGCTTAAGTATACCATACAAGTTCTTCAGTAAAATTTATCGTTTTCATGTTATAGTTTGCCTTTATGGCCTGTGTCAGAACTCTTCTTAGTAAAGAAGAAGTTAGGCCTCATATGAATGATGGACCACCATCTTGAGATTGTATGTTAAAGTTAAAAACCAAAATAGTAAGTATTTTATAAAATCTTATGGTGCTGTGGAAAATATTTATTATTTCACTTTTTCTGACACTTCACCATGGGGACTGTTCTAGTAATATAGTTTTAAGTCATCGCAGTTAGTTTTCTGGTTAATTGGCACTGCTTATCATCCAGGTGTAGAGTTTTGGTTTAAATGATCTCACTAATCATAGCTGATGAAGATTATTAAGGGAGTTCCCCAGAGATGATGGATTTCATTAGTTTTTCATGTCTAGTGTTTTCCTCCCTAAAAACAAAAGTACTATTTTTAAAAATTAATTTTAATGTTATTCATTTAAAAAAATGTGGTATCTTTTTAATTTCATGCTTTTAAAAACTTGCAGTAAAACCTTGCTACAAGAGCAATGATAGGTGACTGGAATTTCCTGCTTAGATATCTTTAGGTATCTCCTTTTGGGTAGAAAATTAGAATCATCTTCAAGCTCCCAGCAGTGTCATGGTGAAGGGAAAGAGGTTGGTCTCTCTGGGGTGTAGTAGACACTGGTGGCTAGACTTAACAGCTTCTTTATTTCTACCTCTGTCCACAGCTTCCTGCCGCCCCCCCCCCCACCAATTCTGCTCTTATTCTGACAAAGAAATAGGATGTACCCTCTCACTTTGTAGAGAAATGCAGTGTATGGCAAAAGAGGTGCTCCAGTTTTTTCGTATCCTTCTGTGCATTAAGGCTGGGTTGAGTATGGCGCAGTGGGTGGAAGGTGCCCAGCAAGCAAATGGACAACTACCTAGGAGAGATTACAGTGAGCTGCAGTGCTTCTTGGTTGCAAGGTTGTTCATGAGTGGCAGCGTCAGTTGTCATGAAGTCAGTTGTCATGATGTCTGTTGGCTTGGCCAACAGAGCTATCTGATGGTGGGAGATGTGTAATAGTGGGTTGCGGCCAGGGCCATCACTCTGGCCTGCCAAAGGGAAAATAGTGCCACTTTTGTTCTTTCTGAACTCACTAAATGAAGAGTAGGGTAAGTTTCCATGGAAAAAAAAAAGTAGTAGAGTTTCCATGGAAATATTTAGTAGAATGTTTACAATGTTTATATTTTTACAGTTTTAAAGCAACAGTAAGAATAGGTTTTAAAGAGTTTCAGAGCAGCATATATTCTGCCTAAATTAACTCAATGTTTTAAATTCTAAATCAGGTGTCACCAGCCTTTTTTGCGTTGCAGGAGATGTGACTACAACGTAGGGAGAATGATTTTTGTGGGTAGATGATTTCTTTGCCTTCTAGTCACAGTTGAGTCAGGTGAAGGGGTGGCATCTGGAGTAAGGGCGAGGGTGCTACGCAGCTGTGGGAGTTCTGCGCCAGGCTCCTTCACGGAGCGTGCAGGTGGCAGCAAGTATGGGTCTTGGGGGAGGTCGGGGGGGGGGGCACCTAGCAAAGCCTTAAGAGCAGGTGAATGGAGTAGGATCAGGCACCCACCAGAGTAGTCCATGTGGAGGCGGACAGATCGGTTCAGGGGAGAGTGGGCCCTGAGGCAGGGTCCTGAAACTGCAGAGGGAAGCCAAGCAGTTACGAAGCGCTAATGTGCCAAGCATGCCAAGCACAGCATGTGCTCTGTAGAGAGGCAGTATTTTAAACTGTAAAATACTAGCGTCTACCAAAACAATTGTGCTGAAGATGCAGTATTGTGCTTTTTCTTTTCTTTCATGTCAGTAATATTGTAAAATATTGAGCTCTTTGTCTTCTTTTTTTATGGATAAATGTGGTCTTTGTCTCATGATTGTGAGCCCCTGAAAGTGCACTGAACCTATTCACGTGTCTTTAAGGTGTTTTGCTGTGTTAAAATTTTAGGAGAGACAAATGCAAGTGAGAATAACAACCTAGTAGGCGTTAATTACCTTATTGTGGAGTTGAATTCTGTAATTGGAAAAAATTCAGTTAAATATGTAATAAATACAAAATGATCTATACTGTTCTTTGGTCTGTGTATTTTTTTGTTATCTAAATAGCTGAATAATAAGTAAATACTATTCAGTAATTTGATAGGGTTAGTGAAAAAGAAAAGAAGCAACTGGAATGGGATGAAAAGAGTAAGTTACTCATCACAGCCCCAAAAATTGTGGTCTGATTAAAAGAAAGATATTGGTTTCTGTGTAATGTTCAAAGAGAACTTTGTGGGCTTCAGACAGGTTAGAGTGTAGATTGATCTCAGTTGCAGGCCTCCTCTCCCTTTAAGAAGCCCTTCAAGACATGGCAGCCCGGGTGGCTCAGCGGTTTAGCACCGCCTTTGGCCCAGGGCATGATCCTGGAGACCTGGAGTTCAAGTCCCATGTCGGGCTCCCTGCATGGAGCCTGCTTCTCCCTCTGCCTCTCTCTCTCTTTCTCATGAATAAATAAATAAAATCTTTAAAAAAAAAGCCCTTCTAGACACTGAATCTCGTGGCATCTCTGCATGTGTATCCTAAAACACAGAGCTAGATCAAAGATGGCATTTGAATCTCACCGATTTACGTCTACTATTGGCTATAATGTATAGCAAATTCTGAGAGTTGAAGCCCCATATTTGGAGCATTGAAGGTAAAGGGGGCTTAAATGCACCACACCCACTGCAGAAATTGAGAAGAGGGGCCTCTTGCAGGGAGGGAAGGGACCTGCTGTCCAGTGGGCCAGGGTTAATGATTGTATGGAAGTTACTTGTTTATGTGTATGCATAATGAGACTGTGATTTTTTTGTGGTTAAGGACGATGTGTATGTTTTATGTTCCTTTTGCCTGATACATAATAGGTATTCAGTAATAGGGGCTCAGCTTACTGAATAAATGACTAAGAAGACTTGTCCCCTCAAAATAAGTAAGCCGAGACCAGGTAATACACAGGGATTGATTTTAGCAATCCTGTTGCTCTCCTAGAAATAAAGAAAAGTGATCTGATCTAGTTTATAGTTAAGGGGTCAGCAGAAAGGAGTTCTGGTGAAACTAGCTTGTGCCATTTTCTACCAGGTAGGAGAGAGGAAGCACGAGTGCTTGATGGGACCATTACTGGCCCGAGGGCTAGGGCGTCTGAAAAGTTGCCATGCCATTTAAGAGCTCTCTCTGCAAATACAGTGTGATTACAGATAGATTTTTATGACTTGGAGGAGGACTTTTCTGCATTATGGCAGATGTCCATGAAGTTGTACTGATCTAAAAGAACTTGTTCTAGGACAGAAAGCAGTGGACATTTGATCAGTGAAGCTAAAGATGGGTAGCTAATGAATATGATGAGGCAGATTTACCAGCTAAGTTAGCATTACCTGTTTCTCTAGAAGAATGAGCCCTGTGGTAATGGGAGGGACAAATATACATTGGCAAGGCCAATAGCATCAGGAAAGTTGGGGAAGAACAGGTCTTCTGAATAAAGAAGCAGGAGACAATTACTTAAAAGGAATTGTACATTTTCATATGCATTACATGGGAAACTTTGTGGTAGGTGCCTGGATCCAAGATCAGAGGGTACCCAAAAAGATGTGTCCAGAGAACCTTGAGAATTTAAAGATTGTGGCCTGGATACAGGGAAGACAGACCTGGGCAGGGGGGAAAGGCAGATTATGTCAAACACCATGAGTTTCTTGGAGCATTCTTTTAAGTGGTTGCAGCTAGATTGCGGGCTTCTTTCCAAGAAAGGAATCAATTTTCTTTAGTTATTTTAAACTATTTTCCTAAGTGGGTGAGTACTTTTCATTCCCCAGAACACATTGCCGATGCCACTAAACAGTAGACCTTAGAACTACTTCCTTGATGCGATCTGGTGGGACATGTGCCAAATGGGCAGAGACTTGAGCCCAGAGATGTTTTGTATTTCAGTGAGAGAAAAGTACTTGGAAATCTGTTTGATTTCACATCTCTATCCCTTACATTGTGTGACAAGTTGAAAGTAACAGAGGCAAGGTGTGCTGTATTCTTAGGGGCAGGAGTTTGGTCTGAATTACTACTATAAAATTTAGTGAAGTTAAGGGCAAAACCAGTGAGTGGAGCAAGCTGGTCCGCACTGGTGATGAACGTGTAAGACCTGATAGGTCAAGGTTAAGAATTTATTTTTTCCTCTTAAAAAATAAATTGACTGATTAATAGTTGCTGGGGTTAAACAGAAAGAGTTACTGTGAGCTCTGGGAAAAATGAAATAACTTGGATCCAAATATCAGACCAGTCTTCATCTATATAAGTGATAAATGTCTTTTGTTATTCATAAGGAGCCTTTTGCAGCACATCTGATTTTATGCCAATGAAGTGACTTATAGTGGTGTGCCTATAGAGCCTCAGGATGGGTTGGTCACCAGAAAGACCCAAGTGATTAGAGGGGTGGAACTTTCAGCCCCATTCAACCTCTGGGAAGTGCAAAGGGAGGGGCAGGATGGCTGGAGATGAAGCTCTGTAAAAACTCTTGAATGGGATTTATGAATTTCCCATGTTGGTGATGCATCCCAGTTCCACAGGAACAGAAGTTCCCATGTTCAGGACCCTTTTGGACCTTGTCCTATGTACTTCTTCATCTGGCTGTTCTTGAAATGTGGCCAGTCAGAATTCAGATATGTTTGAAGTATAAAATGAAGATGTATTTGAAGTATAAACATTGGATTTCAAAGACTTAGTGCAAAAGTAAAAGAATTTTTATATTAAGGATATTGAAGTAGTATTGTAGATATATTAGACCAAAAGTATGTCATCAAAATTAATTTCACCTGTTTCTTTTTCTTTCTAATGTGGTTAGTAGAAACTTTTAAAAAAATTAATTAATTAATTTTTACATTGGACAAACTATTTTTTTTATTGGAGTTTAGTCTGCCAACATATACCATATCACCCAGTGCTCATCCTGTCAAGTGCTCCCCTCAGTGCCCATCACCCTGTCACCCCAACCCCCCGCCCACCTCCCCTTCCAGTACCCCTTGTTCGTTTCCCAGAGTTAGGTGTCTCTCATGATTAGTAGAAACTTTAAACTCCATATGTGATTGCATTATATTTCTGTTAGTGCTATCTTGGATCTAACACTCAACCAGGATCTTGATTTATAGCCTTATAAAGGCCAAACCTAGAAAAAACCATCAGTGGTGGTTCTATCCCTTCCTGCTAATCCTCATATTAAATCCTTTATTCTTAAACTTTATTTATTTTTTTAAAAATTTTTATTTATTTTATGATAGTCACAGAGAGAGAGAGAGAGGCAGAGACATAGGCAGAGGGAGAAGCAGGCTCCATGCACCGGGAGCCCGACGTGGGATTCGATCCGGGGGTCTCCAGAATCGCGCCTTGGGCCAAAGGCAGGCGTCAAACCACTGCGCCACCCAGGGATCCCTATTCTTAAACTTTAAAGGCAATTCAGAGAGAATTGGAGTCTGTACTGGTACAGTTACTTGGAATCAGTTTGGTCTTTTCAACACCTACTTTTAAGTTTTCTTAGGCTGAGTCCAGAGCAGTCTTTAGGGTTAACTTTTCACCATTAAGACAACAGCCTTCTAAAGATACTACTGCTGTCTCACAAGGGCACTTTGGCTGGTGGAAACAAACTGTTTCAGTCCCAAATTCTAGCCATCCTGGCCTCCCTGATCTCTTAGGATTTTTCCTTCCCTATCCTGTGCCCTGGAACCTACTTCCAGGCAGTTAGCTGGGACAGTCACAGGGTTTGCCTTGGTTTTTGTTTCCCTTCTTTCAGTGAAATCAGAGTCCTGCCCTGGTTGTTTTTCAATGTCTAAAAATCATGATTTCGTGTAATCTTTCTAGTTTCCCAGTTGTTTATGGCAGGAGGGTAAATCTAGTTCTTTTTACTGTCAGTCAGAAGAGGTAGTACCCTAATTAGGCTTTAATTTCATGAAGGACACATTTCTACCTCAGGGATTTCTGAGGCACTTGATCAAATTCAGAGAAGGAAGAAGCACATTTTACTCTGTGGAGGCAGAACCAGAACATTCCTCTGTGTTTTAGGTTTGGCCAGGTTATTAACGATAATGTAGTGGGGCGCCTGGATTTTGGCTCAGGTCGTGATCACAGGGTTGTGAGATCTATCCTCCCTGTTGGGCTCAGCACTCAGTACCGAGTCTGCTTGTCTCTCTCCAACCCCCTGTCCCTTACCCCACACAAATAAATAAAATCTTAAAAAAAAAATTACCCACCATTGGGGGATGCAATTAGCATGAAAAGGAAGAGCCCCTTACTGTGGCAGTTAAGTGCTAGTTAAGAAAGCAGAATGGAGGGCAGCCCTGGTGGCTCAGTGGATGGCTCAGTGGTTTAGCACTGCCTTCATGCCTTCAGCCCAGGGCGTGATCCTGGAGACCTGGGATTGAGTCCCACGTCGGGCTCCCTGCATGGAGCCTGCTTCTCCCTCTGCCTGTGTCTCTGCTTCTCTCTCTCATGAATAAATAAATAAAATCTTAAAAAAAAAAAAAAAAGAAAGCAGAATGGAGTAGAAGAGGACTTCTTAAGTCTTCCCTTCAGTGTGAAGCCTCACTTGGGTCGACAGTGCCAAGCAGCCCCAGGCTAAGAGCTCTGTAGGCCAGCCAGAGCTGAACTCACTGGGAGTGGTATTTGGGAATGTTCTTTGTGGGATAATACTGTGGACTTTGTACTGCTGATTTGTGTGTGTAGAATAGTAGGGTTTTTTTTGGTGGTGGTGGGGGATGCAGGGGAAGAGGGTTGTCATTTCTTAAATAAAATTTCCTTCTGTGAACATTGAACTTCTGAACATGTCAGCTCATGGACTTTCTAACAGAGTTGGTCTCCCAACCTCTTCCTTGGATTTCAAGGGCCGAAGTCAATAAAGTAGGATATCCCCCAAGAGTTGTCCCTGTAATGCCATGTATCTTACCAGTATTGGCATTTTTCTTTGTTAGATGTGTGTGTGGGGGTTTGTGTATTTTAATGAAGTGATTCTCAACTAAAATTCTCAACTAAATTATTTCTTGGTTTAAGAGGTACTATTCCTTGTCTGACTTTCTATT